ACTTTCTCCAAATACTACCTGATAAACTTAACTCGCCATTCTTATACATTCTCAACGTATATAGTAGACCACGAGAAAAGCCACCGCTTTGATTCCCTATGTGCCCGAGCTACATCCTCGGCAGGCAAACACACCCTCCTCATAGTGGGGGATTTCAACACCTCCCACCCAGCGTGGGGTTACACCGCATCTACACCGAAAGGTAGAGCCCTCTGGTCCCATATTCAGGCACATTGTTTTACACTGCACAACGACCCAGAGTAGCCTACTCGTTTGGGGAACAGTGTGAACAAAGATACATCCCCCGATCTTACCCTCACTCAAAATGCTCCCACAATGATTTGGACTAACACCCAAACTAATCTTGGCAGTGATCATTACATTATTAGCATTACTTTACAACTAAAACACAGACCCATTGCACCCAAACCACTGATGCTCACAGAATGGGACAAATTTATAGAGACCCGCAACAGCACTGCTCCCTCACGTATTTCAGACCTTACTGAGTGAACTCAACAGCTTCAAAAAGATGTTGAAATTCACAGGAAAACTTTACCCCCCGACACTCCGATAACTACTCTAGACTCCAAGCTTCTCCATATGTGGGAAGCAAAACAGTCACTTCGACAAACACCAGTGACACAACGGGAAACTCCGCATTAGGATAGTGAAGCTAGACCAACAAATCGAGCGATATGCGACTAGATTGGCAGCACAGCAATGGGGTCAGCTTTGTGAAGGAATCCATGACCACTTCAGTAATAAACGAACGTGGCAACTTCTTAGACATCTGCTATACCCCCAGTACTTCTTGCACACGACACTGCCACGCTATCACTAAACTATTACACGAGCACAGTAACCATTTAGGAAAGCTGTTCGATAACCTCCGCACGTTGCATTTACCTCAATTACGAAAGGATTCTGTACCATCTTACACAGGAAAACCTAACGAGTCATTAGATGCGCCGATAACGGAGGCGGAAGTTAGGCACGCCCTCGCAACACTCCGTACCACGTTGGCGTCAGGCCCCGACCGCGTTAACAACAAATTACTTAGAAATCTCTACCCCATTTCTATTAAAGCTTTGATTGAGTTTTTTAACGACTGTTTTGACACAGGCACCCTTCCACCTTCGTGGAAGGGTGCCAGAGTCATATTCATACCTAAACCGAACGAAGCTCTCTTAGTAGAAAATCTGAGGCCCATTTCCTTAACATCGTGTCTCGGAAAGACTATGGAGCATGCTGTGCTTGCTCACATGCTCCATAGACATGTGGAGGATATGGACTACTGCATCCAGAAATGATTGGCTTTAGGGCCTCACTTTCGGCACAAGATGTGATGCTTTGCCTTCAACACGACATAACTCCTAACCTAAGCGAGGATACTCAGGCGATTCTTGGTCTGGACATACATGGATCGTTCAATAACGTAGCCCACTCAGCTATATATGCTGGCCTCAACCAAATTTCTTGTGGCCCTAAAATGTACTCTTACCTCAGAAGCTTCCTCACAGACCGTACAGCTACATTACATTAGGTCCAGAACATTCCTCACCCTATACACTAGACAGCTTCGGAGCGCCTCAAGGGTCAGTGCTCTCTCCAATCCTTTTTAACCTGGCTACGCTACCTATACCCAACGCTCTTCAACGGATCCCTGACTTGAACTTCTCCATCTATGCTGATGATATCACCTTATGGGTAAAAGGAGGCTCAGATGGACACATTCAAGACACCCTACAAACAGCTGTAGATATAATAGCACCACTAACATCTCAAATGCCTCTCTATTGCACACCGAGTAAATCAGAGTTACTCCTTCTACCAACTCATCGTTGGAACAAACACATTCCAATGATCGAAGTTCACATAAATGGGTGCCTCATTCCTAGAGTATCTCGCATTCGTGTGCTAGGTTTATTTGCCCAAAACAACTGACTTAATACGCACACACTCGAAGCTTTAAGCAATACCGTTGAAAACACCCTAAGAATGATAGGAAGAATCTCAGGGGAAAATGAAGGGCTCCGAGAGTCAGAGCTACTTCGTGTAATACAAGCTTTTACGATTAGTAATATCACATATACTCTCCCTTACCTTCACCTTAAATTACCAGAGGAGGAATCGGTCAACACCCTTCTCCGCAGAGTTTACAAATATGCACTAGGCATTGCAATCAATACCTCTAACGCACGACTCCACTAGACAGGAGTCATAAATACCCCATGTGAAATCCGTGAAGCCCATTTAACATCTAAATACACAAGGCTCGCCACCACTAGAGCAGGTCACTGCATTTAATCGTCTACCCGAATTGACTTCACCTCACTCACCAATGCTAAATACAAGATTCCCCACCACATACACTAACAATTACTTATATCGCCCCTTCCTAAAAACATGCGTTCAACATAACATACTAAGCATCGAATCCAAAGAGCAAAAGCTCCTCAGAAAAAATTGCATGGAGCCAATGGTGTGCTCTATGTCGATGCGGCAGAATACCCATCTTTCCCATCCTATGCCCTCTCTGCTGTTGATTATAATGGCAAGGTGCTCACAACAGCATCCATCACTGTCAACTCTTCGGAGGAAACAGAGGAGGCTGCCATTGCTTTAGGTCTATCCATACCCAATATCACTATGATTGTAAGTGACTCCAAAACTGCCATACGTAACTTCAAAGCAGGTCGCATCTCATCAACTGCCCTTTCAATTCTTAAGAAACATCTTCCCACGCAAGACGTTGCTCTAATATGGACGCCCGCGCATGCGGGGTTGAGTGGCAATGAGGCGGCTCATACCTGTGCTCGAGGAATGACCGGCCGAGCGCAGGCCTCTGATGGCGCCTTAGAATACGCGGCCTTTTTCAGAGCGAGAAATCATCTTTTGACGTTCCACAATATAACAAATCACTACTGCCTACAGCGCACTATATACCCCCCCCCCCCTTACACCATGGAGCTTCGCGTTACTTTGAAATACTATGGCGCCAGTTACAGGCACGTATGTTTCCTACCCCATTTTTTCGCCATCTTATACACCCTGCGATATAATCCTCCCATTTGTGCATTTTCTGTCAACAAAGAGCTAACCTAGACCATATCATGTGGGGGTGTACTCGAAACCCAGCACCCAATTCTCTACACATTAATAGTAAGGAGCAGTGGGAGGCTGCTATGTGCAGTTTGGCACCCGAGGTCCAGGACTAGATCTTGGATTGGGCCAAGAGGGTAGCGGAGACTGGGTAGGCTCCTCTGATACTCCACCACCGCACCTTTGCCTCTCGGGATAAATAAAGTTTTTCTCCTCCTCCTCCTACATGTAGCTCGCACTTCTCACACCATGCGGCTCTGACAGGAGCAATACCAAGAGGAAGCCCTGCTCAGTCCTTGGCTAATGACTAATTGCGCAGGTTACATTACATTCGAGAAGTGGGCATGGCCACAATAAAGAGGCCTGCCCCTTTTGACTGTACAGAAAGCTGGGAAGGTCAAGCGAGATGCCGAAACTAGCCAAAGCGGGTTCTACATGCTGCACCTTCATCATTACAGCACTTATTTGCAAATATCTTGCAGCGCCATGTTCCCATTGACCAAGTATGTCGTTTTCTCTCAATCTAAAGCTTTGTTTTTTGTTTGTTGAGTAGCCCTTCAATGTCAATCATTCAAAAAGCTAAACAGTTGGCGAATAGACAGTTCTAAACTTTAAGGGTCTTTGGCTCCCTTTCCCACAACACTAATTAAGGCTAAAAAATGCAGATTGAGAATGAGGTCAGCAAATAGTGAAGAAAGGTAAACATGTGACAAAGAGCTGTGGATGCCACTTTCAACACTTCTAAACCAAATTCACTTGCGTTAATCAGAGTTGCTCTATTTTGCAACTCTGCACCAAAAGTTATATAAAACATGAGAATAAAACACTCAAAAAGCACAAAGAAAACAGATGCAAAAGCACAATTCAAGCATCTATTTTCTTCACCATGACCCAATGTAAATGCTTACCCCTCTAAACAACATTATAATGATGTCCAACATCAAATATGATCAATGTACCACCTCTTAGGACTATAAACTTAAGTTGGATATCATGTTCACTGAATGTGCAGCTGTTATTTTGGTTTCCATTCATGACTTCTGCTTTCACAGATGGTTTCCTCCAATCAGATGAGCTTTGTAGATTTTCCCAAAAACGTTTAAAGGTTTCAAAACGACGTACGAATGCCGCAAGCAAGCTCGCATAGCAATCAGTGGCTGTTACAATTTCAGTAGTTAACAACCACCTCTAAACATGTCATGAATCACGCAGTTTTCCACGGCAAACCTTCGAATGACAACCGCTATTGGCCAATTTTCTAATAAACAGCTATTCCGCCCTCGTTGCATTTGGCAGCGTTCGGTGTCACACTTGCATTTATCATAAGTCTGCACTAACTTTTGCATTTGGCGCCACAAGGCGTCCAACGACGAGACGAGCGATTTGTCATGGACGTTACAAGTATGCGGCACTGTCCGACGCTTGTGTAGACATCCTCTTTGCAATGCATTCATAGATCCCGCCACATAGCCAACGCCTGAGTTTCTGTTTCAACACCAACGGCTGTTGCAATTACAGAAGCCGGACTACAGCACGCAGACGTCACTTCGACAAGCGCAGCGAGACAGCGCTGAAAATGCGATACTAGTAAGCAAGAAACTAGACGGCAATAAACACTTGCATTCATCCAGTGCGACACAGCTCAGTCAATTCGAAGGCAAAGAACTATCGATGCAGGTTCTGCAAACTTGCAATGCAATAAAGAAAATGCCTAGGCTTAAGAAATACAGAATATCTTACAGCGGCAAGAAGCTTCCAGCAGCTGTGTTACCATATGCACCACAAAGACATCGTACAGCATATACAAGGGAGCACGAGTGCGTGAGAACCATATTTTACATGGTTTTTCACGAAGATATTGAGTACTTTAAGCCTTATGACCCTAGCTAACTCACCTTCGTGCCGAGACATCCTAAAACAATATAAAGAAGTAAACAGGGCCCGTGAGACAAGGCGGCACAAATATTTCCGAGATTACAGCGGAAATATACATTCACTGTGACCGCATCAGCGGCTGTCCTTTAACAAATAGGCTGAAAAGACTCCCATTACTACACAACCGCGATGTGCACTCCGTCCACACGACGTTCCTGCCGTCGATGGCGTCACACGCAGTGTTGCCAAATGCCGGAGAACAAAAATGGCTAGATTGCAGCGTAAAAGCATGACCTACTACACTCCTGACCTGTTCAGATAGCGGGGTTCCTATGGGAGCGCGTGTCCCCGCTCTCGTTCAATCGCTCGCCGTAGGTGGCGCTACCTATAACCTGTTCGTCTGCTTCTTTACGGTTGTTTTGTAGGCGCTGGTATAAGAATGCCTGCTTTCTGTGGTGAACTGTCGGCATATATGTGACTATTTCTTCCCATACATTGCTGGTCAAGTAAGCTGTTCAGTGCGCTTAAGAATTTATAGCACACTGGTTGACAAACGTGGAAACCCGTGGATTTACATGATTTTGGACAGCCTATGCGTTGTCGCGTGCATTTTATTGCAAAAAAAATTCTGAATGTCTTTTAGTATTATTATTTCTGGATATTTCTAAATTGTGGATCATAAATTCGCACTACGAGTGCTTTGTTGGTTAAAATTTGACTACAAAGAGTGAAGGTGACGTCAGCGAACAGGTGCTGCCTAGCGCCACGCCGCTCGTAGGTGACGGCCCTAGCGGCAGAAGGTATGAACTAGAACGTGGGCGCTGGAAGAGGTGCTCTCTGGGCAGGTCAGGAGTGTAGTAGGTCATGCGTAAAAGTAGCCATAAGTAGCTAAAGCAATCTAGCAAGAAGCTAAAAACATAGTCTATGCTAAAACGCAGCTGAATTATTTTTTCTAGAATTCTTAGGTGTAATATAGGACTGTAACGAATTTACGGGCAGCTTTGTTACCTTACAGTTCAAAGAAAACTGTCAAGTGACTTTTTCTTGCATGCATCTACGCACAACGTGTATATGAATGTAAAGAAAAAAGCATTCCTATTTTGATTCCAATCATTTATGGGCAGGTGTGATTTTATAAAAGCGTATAGGCTTCCACACTAATCAAAGGTAAGCTGCATATACACAGAGTTCAGCAAATATTAGGGGTGTGTGAATATTTGAAATTTTTAAATCGCCAATCGAAGAGCTCATAATCGAACAACGGAATATTTGTTCTAATCACTTTCTAATAACGACAACTGAGGAGAAAACCTCAATAGGACAACTCGTTGGAGGAACAAAAGATCAATTTTGTTCTTTTAAGGCGATAGCTCTTTTCGAGGAAGTTCTGACGGCGGTGGCAAGGGCGTTCTTGGCTGTGAGTGAAAAATAATCTTCTGCATGACCGAAAAATTGAGGATAATAAAAACAAAACGAACTAAAAAGATGTCCGAGTGTAGGTCGAACCCAGGACGCTTGCGAGGCAGGCAGGTGTTCTACCACAACGCTGCGTACGCGTTCGCTTGGAAATACAGACAAAATAACTTCCTCTGCTTGGAAATGCAGTGACAAACTGAATTCATGATTCGCAAGCACACACGCTTTCTATACAACCTGTTAAAAACAGTGAACACAGCGCGTGCTAGAAGAAGAGAAACAATGAATGACACGTGGCACGACGAGCTTGGTGCTTTTTTTCGCTGGAATGAACGGCAGCGTTGAGACGCACTGCAATATCCCAGGCGCATTTGCCCTTAAAGCTATAGTTATCTACGAATGAGCTGATAGGATTTTACAGAGGTTTAATTTATATTACAGTAATATATTGCGTGGTACAAGCGTGCATAGCCATCAGGCGTCAGAACATGTGATTATCAAAACGAGTTTGGAGTTTGAAGCCGGCCACCCATTACAAAAGATACATGCACTCGTTACTGCACGTATTCCTTTAGGGTGCACATAGTAAGACCGAAAAGATTTCACGTGTCGCATAACTGCGCGTTGGGTAAAGCATGCTATATACAGAATGCAGCCATATGCGAAAGCTTCACTGACACGTATATATTATGTTTATTCGTTTGAGCTTTACTATGCTGCATCACGTAGGTGTTCTGTGGCATTACTGTTTGAAATGTCTCCTGCTTTGTCCTTACTCTGTTAGATGCTTTTTTGTTAACGCTGTTTATAAGCTATTTCCTTACTTCATTTGAATTAGTCATTATTATTATTATTATTAGGTCCATGAATAGCTGATTTACTTGCGGTATTGACTTTGTTATCAAGTACAGGAGGTCTCAATTCAGACTATGGGACCTCCTTCTGCATATTCTAATCATGTATTCTCTCCTTTCTTTGATGTGAAAAATAAATTGATTCTGATCATGATGCTACTCCATCACAGACACGACCTACTGTACTTTTGACCTGCCCAGCTGGGGGCGGTCTACGGAGCTGGCTGCGCCGGCTCGGATTCCGGTCTTTGCCGCCTAGGGGGCGCTCGAGTTACCACAGCTGATACAGCAAATGGTAGTGTATAGGTGTTCTGTGGTACAGCGTCGCATACCCCAGCGTCGCACCACAGTGGTGCGACGAGCAGGACAGTCGGTAATAGAATGGGTCGCCAAGCCATAGCTTTTTTAAGGGGACCCAGAGCCCTGAGGCCAACAGTGTAGCCAAAGACGGTTCTAAAGGGGCACAGATATTCAAGCCACACAAAGTCCGTGGGAGAAGAAATCGACCTAAGCACAAGGGCCGAGCTAAGTCATACGTAGGCTATATTAACATGCAGGATGGCAGGAATAAGTTAAACTGGGAAGAGATAGAAAAAGCAGTTGAGGCAGGAGGAGCTGATGGTATATGGGGTTGTGAAGACACATCTTCGGGACATGGAGCAACCACCGTGCAATCCGAGGACTACGTGTGGGAATATTGCAATAGAACAGAAGGCAGCAAAAAGGGGGGTGGAATTGGTGCATTCGTACATAAGAGCATGGGTTGGCAAAGAGTCAAGCAGGGATGCAAGGAACATTTATGGCTAAAAGGGAAAGTGACAGGGCAAATGACACTCCTTGGTTTCGTGTACTTGTGGACGGGAGCAAAGGCCAGAGAGGAAAACCAGGCAATGGTAGAGTGTATATCAAATGACATTCAGGAGTTAGGAGGAGAGTGTGAGATAATTATACTAGGAGATATGAATGCACACATAGAAGATATAGATGAGTATAGTGACTCAATAGGCAAAATGATCATGGATATGTGTGAAAGGCATGATTTGATCATTTGCAATAGTACCGAGAAGTGTGAAGGGCAAATAACATGGGAGGTAGGAAGGCTGCAGTCAACGATAGATTATGCACTGATGTCACATAGGATGTATGATAAGCTCAGGGGAATGCACATAGATGAAGATGGCTCCAGAAGTCTGGGTAGTGATCACAAGCGTATCAAGTTAAGTTTTGTAAGAGCAGCGAAAGTAGGAAGGAGACAAGATGAGCAACTACAGGGAAATTTTCATTCAGAAAGGCAAATAGAAATTGCTACTAAAGAAATTGAGAAAGTAATCACTGAGGATAATAAAACAGTGTGGACATACACAAATCTAATTAGGGCTAGAGATTGCTAAGGCATGTGACAAGCCACCCCGTAAAAGAAGACACAAGCCCAAGAGTTGGTGGCATGAGGAAGTCAAGACAGCCATAGCAAAACGTCAGGAACCCCCTAGGGAACACAGACATGCTAAGCAGCGGGGTGAACTGACAGATGATGTTGAAAGAGAATGGGACATCTTTATAAGCTCTAGAAGGGAAGCATCCCTCCTGATCAATGAAAAGATTAGAAGAAAGGGTGCTCAGTGGCTGGCAGAAGTACATAAAAAGGACAGAAAGGCAGCTGCGAAATTTTGGAACTCCCTAAGAAATGAAACAAGCCTAGAGCAGAGGTTTATAACTACAGCTCAAGGTGCTAGGCTAGAAGGGGACGAAGCTATTGAATATATAAGAACAAGGGTGACAGAAAAATTTCAACAAAGAAGTGCCTTATGCACCACAATAGACAAGGATGGATCAAGTGGCGCAATGGCCCCATTTTCACAACAAGAGTGGGAAAGGGATGAGAAGAGGGTTCCAAGTAGTACATCAACAGGCCCAGATGGCATTCCAATTATGCTGATAAAGACATTGGGTCCGAACTCTAAAAAGACTTTGAGAGAGGCAGTGAGCAGAACAATAATCGATGGTGAAGTCCCTGATGGATGGAAACTTAGCAGGATGAGCATGATCTATAAAGGAAAGGCGGACAAAGATGACATAAACAACTACTGTCCTATAACAGTGACATCAGTGGTCTACAGGCTGGCGATGCAGATTATAAAGGAAAGACTGCAGGCATTGATAGAGGATGAGGGGGTGCTGGGGAACTGCACAATGTGTGCCGGAAACACACGAGGTTGGAAGACAATCTATTCTCACTGATGCAGTGCATCGAAATAGCAGAAAAGGAACACAGGCCACTGTGGCTAGCATTTTTGGATATCAAGGGAGCGTACGATAGCGTTGTTCAAGAGAAATTATGGGGAATACTGGACACACTAGGTGTGGGAGATGGAGTCACTAATCTTTTAAAGAATATCTATAAAAGTAACAAGGTAGTTATAAAGTGGGAAAAACAGGTATCCAAGCCCACAGAGGTAAAACGGGGGCTTAGGCAGGGTTGTCCTCTGTCACCCTTGTTATTCATAATGTACCTACAAGGATTGGAGGCCAAATTAGAGGGAAGTGGACTTGGCTTCTACGTCTCTTTCGTCGAACAAGGAAAACCGATTGATCAGGCACTGCCAGCATTGATGTACGCAGATGATATAGCGCTAATGGCCGACAACAAGAAAGATTTGCAGAGATTGATGGACATCTGCGGTAATGAGGGAGATATGTTAAATTTCAGATTCAGTAAGAAAAAATTAGCAGTCATGATTTTTAATGACAATAGTGAGCTTAGAATACAGGAGGTCACGCTAGAGATAACAGATAAATACAAATATCTTGGCATGAATAAGCAATGGGACCGAGTACCATTGGACCGTAAATATACGTGACGAATAAAGGCAACAGGAATGCAGCAGTGATGAAAAATGGGGCACTGTGGAATTACAATAGGTATGATGTTGTGAGAGGAATATGGAAAGGGGTCATGGTTCCGGGTGTGACGTTCGGAAATGCGGTATTGTGCATGAGATCAGAAGTTCAAGCAAGATTAGAAATTAAGCAACGTTGAATAGGTAGACTCGATTTAGGAGCTCACGGAAATACACCAAATCAGGGAGTACAAGGTGATATGGGATGGACATCATTTGAGGGCAGAAGCTAGCAGCAAGATAAAATTTGAGAAGCGATTGAGAGAAATGGGGGAGGAGCGTTGGGCTAGGAAGGTATTCAGCTACTTGTACATGAAGAATGTTGATACAAAATGGAGGAAGCGAACCAGAAAATCGACGGGTAAATACTTAGAAAACAGCAGGGGGCCAAACCAAAAATAACTATCAGTTAAGAAGAAGGTGAAGGAAACGGAGACTGGCATGTGGAGAATTGGCATGATTAAGGAGTCCGCACAAGCGATCTATCGAACTTTTAAGCAGGAAATTGCCGGGGTAGTTTACTGTTTGAGGCCAGGACAGGAGTATTGCGAACCAAGACATATCGAGCCAAACACGAAGGGGTAGACACGGTATGCAGTGCATGTGGAGAGGAGGAGCAAACTTCCGAACACTTGATAATGTTCTGTAAAGGGCTTCACCCTCTAGTTCAGGATGATGGCGCAGAGTTTTTCAAAGCACTGGGGTTTAGATACAGAGAGGGCAAAATAGATTTTAAGCGGGTAGAATTAACTAGAAAGAGGTTATCTGATTGGTGCTAAAGTCAAGGCACGAGTGAAAATTAAACCATTCACTGCAAGATACCAGTCCTATACTTCACTATTTAAAGGAAAAAAAAAAGATGAATCTAGTTGGTAGTTCACTAAGTATTACAGCTAGGTAGCGCTAGCCGCCGCCCGATCTAAAGGGTACAGCCACATCAATAAATCCAGCCATCCATGAGCGCAGGTCCATGGGTTGTCGCTGGTTTGAGAAGAGTTTCATCACGCATTGAGTAAATATGGCGAGTATCTTGAATCATTTTCTTTCATGTAACTTTGAGAATCTTCTTTTGCATTTTAGTTGACAATTTAGTGCACTTTCAAATATAACCGCAAATTAGATACAAACACATGTATCAGCATGCAAAACAAGAAAGAATGACGACAGAGACAGGTTGTAAGAGGAGCTGACCACCAAATGTTTATTTAAGTCATGATACCAGATATATGTGTATACAATGGTAGACTTGTTGCCGTAGGCGTACAGTGAGCTGGTTTGCATTTGCTGTCTGGGCAAGAAAGGGCGAGGACTATGACATTTGACATTGGCCGTGGCATCCAGCACGCATAGAAAACAACCCAATACAGATAATTTTGCACATAAATACCTTCGTCCCAAATGGCAGCTGTAGATCGCAGGTACATGAATAATCAATGAAAGACACTCTGCAACTGTTTCGAAACGAAACAGCACTTAAAATCAATTATTCAGCACTTTTTAGTGGCACATCCTGTGGTGCAAATGAGTAAAAAAGATTATATCTGTTGGAAAGAACGACTCATTTGCGTTTTTATGCTGCCAGATACTGAACCTGCGCAGCATTTTTTGAGCAAGAATCGGTTCTTCATTCTTAAAGACAGCAAGCTTATCTTGCAGAAACGAAAATTTAGATATATTTCCAGTCTGCAAGATACCTTCCTCTGGAATAATAAAAAGGAGCATACAACTTTGGGGGTTTTCACAAACAAAAATAAAATCTACTGAGCTTTCTTGACAACGGATTGCATTCCTGACAGTTTAACAGAATTTGTCCCTAAGATCCGCTAAACCGTACCTCAGAGGTCGAGATTTTATTGTGGAGTTGCACATGCAAGAGCCTACAACAAATTGACTCATGACCATGAAAATTTTTCGAAACGGTGACTTAATGGCGGAATTAGACGCGTTCTCCCTCGTGCGTTTCCTCGCTGTACAAGGAACAAGAGCGGCGAGAGCGTGCACCTCTCATATTTTGGGGAACACGAAATGGTGAAAATTTCCAGAACCCTACGACGTCCCTTGTAATATATAGTGGTTCCGGGACATAAAGCCCCACCGGTCACCATCAGCAGTGAGCAAACCTGCTTGCAAACAGCTAGGTTTCTTTTTTGAATGGCTCGAGCACACCACGATGTTGACGTCATGACGAAGCTTTAGCGGGTTGGTGCTGTCGAATTGGGCATTGTTCATCGTGACAATATTCTCAACTCGAGGCACATGTTTTCAAAATGCTAAAAAAAATATTGGAGGCTGCTTAAGGGACCTTGAAAACTTACAAATATCGCCTGCTACACCCTCAGCATCTTCCTGGAGCTCGGTTTTTTGGCATGCATGGTTGTACTCTCTTGCATGCTTCTTTTTTCCGTTTTGTTTGCCATGTAGTTAGCGAAAACGAACGGCTAAATTTGTGCAGAAGAAGCATAGTGAAGCTTGTTACGTGTTCTTCTGTAGAGCCTTCGTGTTAAAACAAGGAGTTTTGTGTAGTTGCTGGCAGGACAGTTGCAACAAACCGCGCCTTTGGTTTTTCTAGGTGAATAGACAGTGGGGCGAACGCTTCAGCGGTTTCATCCAGCTCGCATAGAAAAGTAACGAATTTCTGTCAAGGGTACAACAATCCGCCTCTGTCCATGTTATAGACGACTGCAGTTGCACGACCTGAAGAGCGTGGGGCCATGCTTTTGTCGATGCACTGATGATGCGTCAGCGAGTCTTCTGCAGCCTTCACTAGAAATCTAGCTATTAAACCACGTGTGCTGGTTTTAATGCCTGGAGAAAGGCACCTAGGGAAAAAAAAAAGCAAGCAAAGAGCTGAAATAACCCCGAATTCACCTTCTCTGCAGAGCTAATTGTGCACCATGTGTCAAATTTTAAAAGTGAATAATACCTACACTTATGTTTACTGATATAACTCTAGGCAAAACTGAGCATGCATGGCTGTACAAGCAGCATCAAATTGCAAGATAACGCTTTATATTTCTGCAGTTTGATTGTTACCTTATTTATAATGCTCGCTTATTTACTGCATATATGCGCAGCTGCGTTTACGTGCGTTAGTCACTATATTGGTTCCAGGATAGGCGGCACTTATAAATGTAGAACCCAATTGAAAGGCAAGTGACTTCTGTGGAATCCTGTTACATATCTAAGAAGGGTTACATGAAAGAGGCAAATTTACACGTGTGCAAATGTATCATTCTCTAACACAAAAAGATATGCGCAAGGAAATTTCCTAGGACTTCATCACTTATCAAAGGACATTGAATAGTCAGAAATAAAAACTGTGGAGATGTAAGAACAATTAACAACAACGGAAGCTGTGATTGCTGCTAAGTGTGAGCCACCAACCACTTGGAATTCCTTAGAGCTGCAAGCTGTGGTCACATAGCACGATGAATATCTTCTGAGGCAGTCCTCGCGTGGTCTGTGCTCGCTGTAGCCATTTCCCCTTGTTGCTCCTTAAATGGCGTACTTGAGGCAGTGGTGAAGAAAGCCGCTGACGTATCTCCTTTACGAGGTTCACTTTGTTGTGGCTGCCGCGTTCCTAGCTCTCTTTGTTGTTCTGGAAGCATTTCTCGTGGATTTATTGAACTGGGCAAGAAAGAAGGAGCAGATCTCGATGCTTGTGCTGTCTGTGGGCTCAAAAACGCGTGGCACGAGCCGAGAGGGCCCATCGTTCTTTCTGTGCTGCCGCTTGCACATGAATGAACGATGCCCATGAGTAAAACTTTCTGCAGAGATGACAATGCTGCCTGAGCATCTGTTTGATGATTAGAGCCGTTGAGCTGACGCGAAGTGGAGAAGAGGGCTTCCACAGGGTCGCTAGAGAACTTCACTGTGAGCACGTACAAGAACCCGGAATCCAGAAGGAGCCTTGTGGACTCCACAGTAGACCGTGTGGTGATCTGAAGCGCCTAGTAGGCCTCCAGGAAAATGAAAGTGCGCTTGTGAGGTGCTGATTCCTTCCAGGCTGCAAAGAACTGCAGGAAGTCGTTCTCCAACCAGAAGAGCCTTTAAATGAATGTTTACAATTTGAAAATGACATACTATTGGTCCCAACGATTAGCCAGAAGCTGTATCTGTCATCATTAGAGGAGCTGAACGGCATCTGATCTGGATTTCTATTGATCACATAAAAAGTGGTAATTCTGATGTTGTGAATATTGAACCACTTGCGTATCATTTCCACGAAATGGATGGTTGGCAGGCTGTCCTCAAAGCCTAAAACACCGAATTGTCTTCCATACTGTTGCAGATAACGCATTGTAGGTAGATGTGACCTAGGAAAGGAAAAAATTAGTACTGGTAATGTACTTCGCGAACTGATGATATTTTCTAAGAACTCACTAGTTGGAGTCATACCTCAGTTGAAAACACATCAACGGCCCTTCCCACATGCATCTTTTCGAAGTTTGTGGGAAACACGTGTTTCCTTGTAAGGCGCCGGACTAGCTTGAAGGAATTTTGTCTTTCGTTGATGTCGAGCAGCATTCTCAGGTACTTGGGGCTGTAATAGTCTCCCCTATTGCACAGTAAGTGGTCCGAGGCCAGTAGCTGATTGCGCAAGTTTTTCAATATATGGCAGTGATCAAATGCCAGAAACAGCTTCCTATTCTTATTCATGGGGTGCCTGCGACAATGAAAAACATTATTGGAAGCCATTCAATGTAAAGTGATCTTTAAAACACATATTTGTATTGCTGATCGCACAGCTGCGTGCGAGTATGTGCATGCCTGCTATATATACATGAGTGTTTGTGAAATGGGGGTAGCCGCATCCTGGAGTTGCACAATGCATACACAGCTTGACACATAACTTTAAAAGGACGAGATAAGGACGCTTACGGTACTACTGGTTGGATGGGCCCGTTGCTCAGTATGGAAAACATCTTGCAGTTTGAAGAGTGGTTGCCTGCCACGAGTCTCACCACTTCAAAGCCAGCGTCTTCGACGGACTTTAGGACATGCATTGTCAAATGGTCAAGCTACTCTCCTGTTGTCGACCTCGAGTAGTAGTACCCGACTGGAATATGAAACATTACACAACATAAAACACTTTAATAATGATCCAGTTCTAACAAAAAAAAAAAATGTAGCAGGTGTAAAACTTCCGTATAGTGGGTGGAGAGGCCAACGAAGACGAGAAGATGGGTAGGTTGGTTTTCCAATCCAAGCTCATTCTCCAGTCCTCCCAGCCCCACAAGTTCGTGCACGCGGTCAGCCTTCTTGTCATATGTTGCGACTCGTTTAATTGCCATTTCATCAGCTGTAAGAGACTCTTTCTTCTAAAAAAAAAGAGTATTACTGCCGGTATGGCAAACATTGCCACCAGAAAAATTCTACGTACGCGGCCGGTCAACGAGGCTGATTCTTGATGAAGCCGTTGTTTCATAAGTGAAGATACAACTTCGCCACTGCAGGTTCCTGTATACCTCTTTAAAGTACATCGACTTGGCAACGTGAGGCACCCAGACTCGTGCAGCATCTTATACCCACACAGAGATTTTGCCTGCCATGGCACGGCTTGTCGTATTGTAGCCTTAGACCACTTGTGGTATTTTTTGCTCAAATAAGAAAGTTGTTTGTACAGAAAGAGTGCTTTTGGGTCGTTTGTCTGCAGCTTTTTTTGGAAATAGAGACAATATACCGACAATCTTACCAAAATGTCAGATAAGGGCGTACGTGTATATAATTATTGCAAACATTGCGCATGCAAACAACTTTACCTGCAAGACTGCAGCATTTGCCGTTTTGGAGAGCAGCTTAACATCTACAACTTTATGGTTCAACTTGGTTATTTGCGCTTTTATTTCAGCATTCTTCTTTGCAATGGTTTGTCATTTCTGGTGCAATAATTTTGCGGAAGTCATCACACGGCACATCTTATGGCTGGTTAGAGTTGTTTGCGTTGTCAAGGAGCATCGGTCATTTTTGTCTTTCTCGCCAGGTGCAGTTTCAGGCGGTTCTGTGTGTTCAAACTCTGTGCACTAGGGTGCATAACGTCTGAGAATGGTCCCGCAGTTGTGTTTGCGGATGGTACTGTTGACATGTCGCTAGATGTCAAGCTCTGCTGTGCTGGCGTAGAACTGAGCCTGTTTTTTTTTTTTTCTGCATTAAAAAATAGCATTCTGTTATACGCTTTTCCTTGAAATTTGTTTTCACAGATCCAATTTGTATGGAAGAGCCGTGGGGAGACGTCAAGCATTAAACATTGTTAGTTTTATTTTTCTTTAGGCAGGGTGCATGCTCCTGAACATTTAAATGTTTCAAGGTGCGGGGGACTTTTGCCGGCATGTACTTTGGGTAGTGTGGAAACACTGACGGCACAGCATCAGCTTCAAGTCTTTTTATCTTTAATCCCGGCTCATAGTCGGTTGAAGCAAAGTGCACACTGCACGCCTTTGACATGTCATTTGGGACCCAATTCATCATTGCCAGCACCTTGAAGGGAAGATGAATACTCAGTGGATTATTGTGGATAAAATACAAAATTTCTTGCTCTTTTCTAATGAGTATATCATGGAATTAGAAGTTTATACTATGGTGGCGAGGTGAATAAAACACAGTTATAAAGTTTGCGTATGACTTCACCTCGTTAACCATGTGACCCACGTAGCAATCCCGAAGAAGCTGCTTCCTCCCACAATGGGTGTGTTTGAAAATCTAGTTGCATAACCACATGTAGTGACATGACTTTCATATGTGCACCCTTGTCATCTTTCCTTTTTTCTGCTAATAAACAGTTGTGAGTATAGCGTGTCGTCGTTTACTTTCTTGAGGTTGTCGGTTTATTTATTATTTTTTTTTTTGCGCTAATATGCGTCTCATCCAGTCATGCACCACCAACCAGCCCAGCAACTCCCTCTTTTAGAGACACGTAGTCTTTTACAACACATTACATTTTCAGCATGCCGGACAACACCCACCTTGATTCAGTTTTCACGGACCTCGGTCACTGGGAACTCGTGAAAAGTAATCAGGAGTCTTCCCTTGCCATGATTCGCAGAAAGTCACGCAGCACACCACCACCGTGATGGTTCATTTGCACCATCCTCTGTGTTTTGCACCAAGAAACCTCGCCAGTGGTGCGACATGTTCATAGAGCCATAGAGTATAGAGCCAAAGCGGCAAAAAATTAGACACGTTGATAGCGCCGTCTGGATTGCGGCAGCAGTTGTACAAATATTAAAAACTACTATTTTACTGATAATTAAACAATTTTTCACCATCTTCTGCACTCAAATAAATTTTTAAACAAACAAAAATTAAAAATTTTGTCGTAAAGTTTATAGTTACGCATAAAATGAAATAGGTTTCAAAGCTCTAGCTGCGCTTTCATATGGCAGCTGGCCATTCGCATAGCAGACGACACCGTCGTCGTCTGCTTCTGCGTCATGGCTGTCCCCCGCTCGTTGGAGCAGCTCCCTGTCTCAATTTACCTCGTTTGCATATAGTACAACGAAGTAAACTACTTACAAAAAGCTCACAAGTATCTTGCATACTTACTTTAGTAAGTGAGTGATGCCGCATACACGCCCAGCGAAACGACAACGCTGATCACACAAGCTTGATTGCGGCAATAAAATCTATTATTGCGAGTAAATCGGCGTTTACACAAAATAAAGGTCACGTAGTAACGTTATAGAATGTACAGCAGTGAACAATATGCGTGCATCAGCGTTTATGTGCAAACAAGGTACGTACTACGCAAAGCTCTAATGCAGATGCCCAGAGCACAGAAGCTGTCCAGCGCTGGCAGATATATCCATCGCACTCGACGAAACGTTTGCCGCAGTAAGTAAAGGTATACTGATAACGTTCCAGCACTTCTGTAGCTTAATATGTCGTAACACCTCGTTGACAGTATTCGGCAAACTTTCTGTAATTAATATCAACGTATTCGCGTGCCTTTCACGAGCAGTACGGCACGACTGTTTCTCTTCTGGTCCGCGCTGCCACCTCAAGTGCCTTACTTTGCAATTTTTTACGAGTTCGCATAATGCATGCTTCTGAATGCCTAAAATAAACGAGAAACGGTTTTTTATGCTAACCATTCTCAAGCCCTACAAATCAAATTGTCAAAAAAAAAAAAAAAAGCTTAGTGGGCGTTCGTTTGTCGTCGCCGGCGGTGCACTGTCCATCGTTTCGATGGTAGCGACGTTTCATGACGTGGACGCAAAGCTCGCAACACGCCATAGGCTTGACCTCCCTTTGCTTGACCTCCCTTTGCTACAAACTGCACCTACCTGCACGCTTCTGTCGCAGCTCGACAAGAGCAGACGGTAGCAAAAGATCGTCTTTATACTTTTAAGTTTATTCAAAAAGAGGCTTTTATTACTTTTTTTAATCGTCCAGAGTGTATGCAAGCTTAAACATTGCTGCTTTTCTCCCAACGTCGCGCGAGCAGACGACAAAAAAAAAAAAAAAAAAGCGCGGTGCGGTTGTTAGCAATGGTGCGGATGGATGGATGGATGCTATGAGCGTCGCCTTTATAACGGGGTCGTGACAAGTATGCCACCAGGCTCGAAAAAAAAAAAAAAACTTTTTTTCTTTTTTTTTTATGTTGGCCTAATGCCTCTACTTTGATAAATTCTATCTTAATGGAAAAAAAGGTAAATTTTCAGCTTAAGTTCTCTGCCATTTACGGCACACTGTCCATATTTTATTTTATGGGCTTCGGAAGTTTCGAGCGGATGGGGTAAGTTGCAGCGCTACAAAACGCATAGCGGCAGGTGCCAATACTAGAAAAGGCGTGCTGGCGCTTCGCTTGATGGGCAGGTCAGTAAAATACAGTAGGTCGTGATCACAGAACACTTCATATTCCATGTGCCGCTTAGTGTTAGCACCTCTGAGACTAGAACAAGGGAAGCAAGTGTGGTATAAATCTCAAAGGCATTATCACGTGACCTTTGTTGCAGTCGTTTGCTGCACGCAGCGCTCGTTGACTTTCCGCACAGAAAAAAAAAAAAAGAGGAAGAGGATATGAAAGCGGGTTTGCAGGCGCACGCGGCGGGCATCTTTGCTTGTGTTTTGTTCTTTTCGTCATCTTGTCGTGACGTCATCCCGTGAAAATGATGGCAAGCTGTGTGTAGCGCTGTGGTTTTGGGAGTCTAACTGTTCTATGCTCGATTACTGTTTTCCAGTAGATCCAGTGAGCGTGAAATAGATGGCAATGGCTAGCGCGGCTGGCTCATCGAGGGCAGAGTTTGTTGTCGGTGGAAAATTCAAATTGGTTCGCAAAGTTGGAAGCGGTTCCTTTGGGGACATCTACCTGGGAATCAACATGGTGAACGGCGAGGTTTGTAAGCTCTACACAGTTAGGGTTAAGGCTGTGGATCGTTTCAGTTTGTTTCTGCTCAGCTGTTTACTTTCGTTTTTGACTGTGCTGGTAGCGTTGCGGCTTAAAATGCGCGAGCTAGCTTTAGCTACTCCCGTGGTTGTGCTATCGGTCGCTGATGCGTCATACCTTGTTGTAGTATGTAAATAATCTGTGCGCGGTATTTCAGGAGGTTGCAGTGAAAATGGAATCTACCAAGGCTAGGCATCCACAGCTGCTTTATGAGAGTAAACTGTACAAGATATTGCAAGGCCACGAAGGGATTCCCCATACAAGGTAAGTTATTGTTTGTGCTGTGCGAAGTTTTATTTTGGCGAAGCGAACTCCGGTTGAAAACAAAAAATTATGAAACTCAAATTTTATTAGTAAAGGTGTAAAGGTTTGTTCAAAGGACCACAATTTATGAGGCGCCGTACAGCGCTTTGTATTGAGGTCACAACCTGTGACGTTGCATGATGTCCTCGTACGCTGTCTTTTCCGAGTTCCGTTGCGTACGCAATGTGCCAGTCTGAGCGATATTTTCTTTAGACCTGTGGTAAAATCAAAGTGTGGCCCCGCCGCGGTGGTCTAGTGGCTAAGGTACTCGGCTGCTGACCCGCAGGTCGCGGGTTCAAATCCCGGCTGCGGCGGCTGCATTTCCGATGGAGGCGGAAATGTTGTAGGCCCGTTTGCTCAGATTTGGGTGCACGTTAAAGAACAACAGGTGGTCGAAACTTCCGAAGCCCTCCACTACAGCGTCTCTCATAATCATACGGTGGTTTTGGGACGTTAAACCCCACATATTAATCAATTTCTCACCTGGTTGTGGGTTTCGCACAACCCGCTGAGGAAAAAAAGAATGCGTTGCTAGTAGTGTTGAAAGTACATAGAGTATCGCAGATGTTTGAACGACACCTACACTTTTCAGATGGTTTGGCACTGAAAGAGATTATAATGTGCTTGTTATGGACCTGCTGGGCCCAAGCTTGGAAGACCTGTTCAACTTCTGCTCCAGACGTTTTACCATGAAGACAGTGCTAATGCTGTTTGATCAGGTAAGCAAAGCTTTTCTGTGCTGCAAAGCCTTCATGTGGTGCTCGGGAAGTGTAGTTATTAGTGTTGCATAGCTGTTTGTCCAGCTTGCCCCAGTCCATCCTAGTGTATTAGTGGTTGTGGTGCTTGGCTGCTGGTATGAAGGGCGCGGGTTCGATCCTGGTCACGTGGCAGGAGGAACGGTAGAGCCCGTGTACTGTGCGATGTTAGTGCACGTTAACACCACGTGGCTGAGATCTCCGGAGCCCTCCACTAGGGTGTCTAATATAGTCGTGTCGTTGTTTTGTTTTGCAACATGAAACAGTGCATAACTGCTTAATCTGCTGTGGGGTATCTTCTTGGTGGAGTGAACTGGCATGAGAACAATGTGTGTACGTAGGGCTAGTAGGTAACATGTATGAGTGCACAAATTTCTGTGCCTCACAGCTTGATGCTCATGTTAATGCAAAAGGCATAACGCTGCTTGCTTCTGGGAATTATGCCCTGTTCTGCAGACTATTAACGAGCATCTGCTGTGGCTATCATTGGCCAGTGCTTAGTCCAGAATAATTAAAAAGCATGTGGAACAAGAAAAATGGCAAATGTGCTCACGGAGTGGTCCTCATATTTGTATGACCTGAAAAAAGAAAGAAGAGAGTGCATCAGTCCAAAAAATGGCATTGTTGTGGGTACACATGGGCACACTGCAATGGGGCTGGCATATGAGGGTCTGAATTCAGTGCGATGCAGTCATTGGATGACAAGTCAACGTTTTCTTATGGGCATATTCAAAAGGAAAAAGTGTGACAAAAAAAGGACAAACCTGGTTTAAGTAAAAAAAAAAAAGATTGCCTACTTTGATGCAGCTTGGCACATTTCCTATTTCACACAGAGACTTTTAAAACATTATAAAATATAGAAAAAGGCCTTCGCAATATTTCTCTAAATGATCGTTTGCCTACAAAAGGCATTAAAAAACTAAAAAAATATTTGAAGAATGAAGTCTTTTTAAAAAACTCGTTTTCATAAAATGAAAGAAAAACATTCTCAATTTTGATGAAAATTGGTTATCGAAGAGCATTTATATCAATCAAAACACTGCTTTAATATCGTATGTCCTCATTTGCTTTGTTTACGAGACATAAGGGCCTAAATTATAATGCCTTTGCTGTGTGCACTTACTTCAGTAGCATTAATGGTTGTTTTGAGCTTGCATGGCATGTAAATCTACAATTTAAATTACTTTGCTGAAGCATTACTTTTGTCTGGTGGCTTGTCTTCCGGAAAAACGTATTATCAGATCTTATTTGTGCCTAGTGAGTGCGGGGGCAGACTGCCTGCACTCTCTGGAGGGCTCACGCATACACAGTTTGCAGTCTACAGTCTTGCTTGCAAGCATTGAATAGTGAGCGCCTCTGGAAACATTCATGTCAGCGGCGCCGCAAAAGTGGAGTGCGGTGCTGTTCAGTATACACGTCTTGACTTGGCTTAGCTCTTTATAACACGCCGTGGGTTGTGGCTGGGTCCGAGTATTCTGTGCAGATTCAACAATATATATATATATATATATATATATATATATATATATATATATATATATATATATATATATATATATATATATATATATAAGGGAAAGAAGTGTATACCTAAGGGCTCGTTTTTCCGTGTTTTAACACAATATTATGAGATCTAACAGACAGTAATGCCAAGGAATGTACTGGGGAAGTTATTAGAACCAATGGAATGTAAATAAGAAGAAAGAAAAGTGGATGAAAAAATAACCAGCCGTGAGCATATATATATATACCCCCCCGATTCATGGCATAATTTTTTTTTTCCTTTGCCGTTTTTGTTATTGCTAACCTGCCGAAGCCACTATCATAAGCAAAAAAACACCCGCAACGCCTATAACTTCTGCCAGCACTGCTTCGCATGTCTTAAGAAAAAAAACCCAAAACCTGTCTACATCTATGAAAACGGCGATGAGGCAGACCAGGTATTTCATTGCGAAGAAGTAATTGATATCTTGAGCAGGCACGTCCATTTTTCTTCTGATGCTTGTAGGCGAGGTTGTAGGCTGCAAACTGCGTAACGTCTTAGCCCTCCAGGAAGTGCAGGCAGCCCACTTCTGCACACGCTAAACACAAATAAAATCTGATAATATATTTTTCCTGAAGGCAAGCCACCACAGAAAGGTTTTGCTGTAGCTAAGTATTTAAAAATGCAGATTTACGTGCAATGTAAGTTGATAAAAGTCATTAATGCTACTATTTTGAGCCCCTTCTGTCTCATGAACAAAGCAAATGAGAACATGATATTAAAACAGTGTTTTGAATGACATAAGTGCTCTTCGATAAAAAAAAATTTCCTCCTATTTGAGACCTATTTTTTAAAATTCATTTTAAAATGAGCTTTTTGAAAAGCTTGCTTGTCTAAACATTTTTTTTTTCATTTTTTAATGGTTTTTGTAGGCAAGTGAGCTTTCAGAGAAATGTTGCAGAGACCTTTTTCTATATTTGACAGTGTTTTCAAGTCTGTGTGAAGTAGGAAACGCGTCAAGGCATATCAAAGTTGGCAATCTTTTTTTTTTTACTTTGGTTGAATTTGAATTTTTCACAATTTTTCCTTTTGAGGACACCATAAAGAAACCCTTGATATAACTTGTAGTAATGCATACTAAAGGCAACAGGAAAAGTTTTGGCACAACAATCGTAGGTTGGCTTAAATTTGGCCGTTAAAACCGAAAATATTGTGGTGGGCAAAAACAGGATGCTTGTTTGCCACCCTGAAATATTTTTTTTTTTTTGGTGTGCTGGGAGCTTTTTGAAAATCAAATTTTCAGTTCCGTAGACTATGGATTTGTCCACATAACATAAAAAAAACAGCAAAAGAATAATATTGGCCGGACATGCAGGTTTGATCGGATGGTGTGACGCTTCGTTTAACTCACATTCAGTGGGAAAAGCAGAGATTCAAATCAAAGGCTGAAGATCTTATGTGAGAAACCATCTGAAAGTGCCATTAAGGAAGGAATAAAGTGAATACATCGATCCATTAATTTAATTTATTTTACAAAGGCTTTGCTTGGGGAAAAAACACACATGGTTCTCTTGAAAGGGATGAACCATATTACAAGTACATTAACTATTTTGATATTACGGGAAAAGTTGGCATTTTTACTAGGTGTTAAAAACAATTTTTTGTGTCTAGGTAATAATGCCTTATTTACATTATTTGGTACCAAAATGTAGCAAATATATTTATTATACACATTAAATAATAAATGTTTAAATTTAAAAGTTTGTGCAGTGATTATACAGTTGACACTTTAAAAAGGAGAACAACTTAAAGAATATTGAGGTTAAAAATAACTCAAGATATGCAGCTAAAATTGTTGCAAAAACGTACAAGTGTCAAGAATTATTGACAAAAACTGTTCTTTCCACAAAAAAGAAAGTTAGTAGGAGTGCTGCCGTAGATCTGTTATCCTGTGCAGCTTGCCATCGCAGATGGAGTTGGCCTGCTCCGAGTCAGTAACACTTAGAAAGGCAACAAACGAACAAAAATGGCTTCTGCGCATAATATTCAAAGAAATCGGGCCTGAAAGTGACCCTGAGGTATTCCAGTAGAGATGAAGGTGAGGTAACTCAACGATTTTCATGTAAATAAGGATTCCAATGCACTTCATCAAGAGAGTAGTTCCTCCACGAACCGCCCCTTTCTGTGTATGTCTGCCTCTCGAAAACATGTATTCATGCATATTCATCCCACCGATGGAAGGAGACATAACAGGGACAAAAAATTGTTTTAAAAATTTTAATACTCTTCAGAGAAACTGCTGCAAGGTTAGACATTTCACATGGTACGCTTTTTATTGCGACACAAAACAGGAGAGCAATGAAGGACGATAGACAGTCCCTTTAAAATAATTACGTGTGCTTTCTCTAGTTTAACGATGCACACACAGAACACTGACGTGTTGTTATTGTGCCCCATATATGCACAATAATTGCTTTTTTAATCGACAATTGCACAAGTATGAATGCCCGCACCTGAGCAATATTGGTGGGCTCTGCAGATGGGGTTGGATTTGAATCGTTTAGGGTATCGTTTCGGCGGACAAACAGACAAGATTTCCGCGACGAAGTATCCCAAAAAAGACTATCGTCTTTAATTTGGTCTGTCTGTCGGTCAACTTGTTCGTTTGTCTTCCAAAATGAGACTCGTAAACGGCAAAAATCGAACCACATCCGCAGTGCCCCACCATATTGCTCAGGTTCGGGCATTCATACTTGTGCAATTGTCGATTAAAAAGCAAATATTGAGCATGTCAAAGGCACAACTTCAAACCAACAGTATTCTGTGGTGTGTTTCTTTATACTAGAAAGGACCGCAGCGTTTCCTACGCTTTGCTAAGACGACACGGTGGTGGCATCTACACGTCGCCTTGTTGCCTCCAAGACAGGTGCGCATGCCGCGCTGTATATCACATGCCATCCTTTTTTTTTCCAAGATAACTGCCAGATAGCGCTCATGTCTCATGTGTGGCGTAACTTGATGCGCTCGTTCACCTCCGCTGCACGCTCGAGGCACCCAAACGCAACGCCTCCAGAATACCGTTCACCGATTTTCTCGCGCAGAACATCAAATAAACGTTTTGTTCACCCTCTCCAGACGCAAGGCTATCGTCTTTCGATGACGTTTGCAGTGAAACATGCAGATACGGGGCCAATTTTTTTCACTGCTTTCTAAAGGTCATTAAGGGATTTTTAGTGTACAGACAGCACGCCCTAGCCATATAAAACTTCGTTCCAAAAAGAAAACAGTTTGCTAAATCATGTAGTCCCCGTACAGAGAGGAAAGAAGGAGAGTGTCAGAGGAGGTTGGCCTTATGAGGCTAGCTAATTGACGCCACTTTACGCCTAGCAAAATAATCGATAGTGCAAAAGGACCCCTCTTTCTCCTTGGAGTTGTCTGTGGGGAATGCAGTTGGGACAGTGCGAGTTTCGAGCATTGCACGTCACAGCATTTGTCTCCCATGTTTGTTGATAACCACATAGGTGTATTTAGAATGTTACTTCATAAAGTACAATTTTACTGAACCAGTTTTCTGTTTATTTGCCATGAAAATGAGCGCTGAACAAGTTGTTTCAGAATTCTCAGCAGCATGACGCATTATTTTTGCGTCGAGTGAAATATGGAGTGATCCTAAGATGATTGGCTCCATGAGATTCGCAATGAATTGGAAATATTTTTAGCTCTTCACAGGAGCCCCAACATATTTACCGTATTTACGTGCATAATTTTCGCCCTCGCATAATTTGCGCACCCCTAATATTTTGCCAGCTTTTCCGAAGAAAAAAAAATACTTTCTCGCAGATTTCGCGTTCCTCGACCCGCCCAAGCCAGCTCATTGGCGCGCGCACCTTTGGACATTTCGATGCTTCGGCCGGGTGCGCGCCTCGCCGAGCAGATGGGTGCAGTCAAACAGGCTGCGAGTGCGAAGTCCTTTCTTCGGAGGACTTCTCCCGAACTACGGTCCCTAGAATACAGCACCTGAACACAAACTTCTTGACGGGTCGCCGGAACTGCTGGAGCGTTTGCCTCCCCCTATCTCCCAATCTCTACCGCTGCGATAATGGCGAGAATGCACGCTATGACTGTGCTTTGCCGTCCACGTAGCCTTGGTAGTTTTTTGTCAACACTGAACAGCATAGCTTCTGGCACGGCATGTACAGCTTTGCTGTTCATTATTTTTAGGGGATAATTTAACCACGATATGACTACGAAAAACACCATAGTGGAGGGCTACGGAAATTTGGACCACTTGTGGTTCTTTAACGTGCATCGAAAGCCGCTAGCTTGCATCGAAATGCGGCTGGGATTTGATCCCGCCACGGTCAGGTCGGCAATCAAGCTCCATAACCACTACTGCCATGATTATCTATGCAGCATTGGATACGTATTTAAACCTGCTTGTCCCACCATTTGACCTTCCAAGCTGTGTCTGGAGATATCAGCTGCTGGGAGCTGCCGTTACTGAATCTGCATTTTGTGTACATTGCTGCATTTTATCCTTAAGTGCTACAAGTGTCACCCATGCTGTGAAATATAGGTTATACCATGTGCAACCTTTATGACACCTTTGCATTTCTTTTTCAGATGATTACCCACATTGAATATGTGCACAATAAAAATTTTATCCACAGAGACATCAAGCCCGACAACTTTCTCATGGGAATCGGTGGTCACTGCAACAAGGTATGCCATGGTTCTATAATAGCACAGCCTTCTCTGTACTTTTCAGTGCCCGTCAAGCTGGGTGCACAAAACTAGGATAGCATTGTTTGTGTAGTTGCGGACTACATGGTAGAGCCTGATCACAGGTTGCCGACCTTTTGTCTAAATTATGATTAAGAGTATGTGTTCTACTTGTGCTCACTGCAAACCTAGCGTTAAAGGAGCCCTGCAATCGGAAAATGCTGTCAATTGGTTGTTAGAACCTGCGAGTTGAACATTATAGTGTAGCACGTGGCCTGGAACTTGCAATTGATTCTCAAACTCAGCTAGAAATCGTTCCCTCCTCTTTCTACAAATGCTGCCATATACCCTAATATACCGACCATATACCTAAATTTATGGCCATTGGTCATTTAAGCATCTGGGATAAATACTGCGGCCGGCTCGGGAGACCGCCCAGTGGCCATACATGCATTCGCAATAACACTGAAAGTAAAGTGCAAGTTTGAATAAAAAAGAGAAAAACGTGATCAAGATCGTGAGACTTTCTTCTGTGCCATTCTTCCTTGCTTAGCTTCCAGCGCACTTGTCAAAATGAGAGAAGAGGGAACGCAATTACAGCATTCAACAAACCTCTATAACTCTGCTAGTATATGACGGATCCTACAAATTCTTGTGGCAGTCGATTCGTGTGGCAACCTTTAGCAAAACCATTAGGTGGTTACTTGGAAAGGTGTTGCAGGGCCCCTTCGATGGCACCTACATACCTGCCAAGTCTCCTGGATTTTGACCAGTTTTTGCGTTTGTATGATTGTCAGGAAAATCTCCCGGAAATCGAAGTTTCTATGCCTGATCTGGCCGCATTGACAAAATGCAGCCTAATCCATCCAGGCTTTTTTTGCAAACCCATCGCATTTGATTGTTAACGAATTTACGAGCCGTTCATCTAAGCGTACACTATAAAATCTCAATCATGCGAAATCGGCAGATACGAATTCGCGAAATTCCCCAGCCAAACTCCACTATGTCAAAGCACTTCGACTTGGGCGCGTTGGTACGTACTCGGATAGGTTTAGCGCAATTTAGACGAAGACAAGGAGACACACAAAACGCAGACAAGCGCTGACTTTCAACGGAGTTTATTTCAACTTCAACGAGCCTTTTTATGCCCCAAAAACCTGCCTGTATTAACCCTTTACTGCCAGAATTATGAAACCGCTGAGCAAAGTAATAGTTGTTTTCATTTTCCAGCTTTAAGTAGCAACATTTAAATGATTCTGCGGTTGAATTATTTATAATTCAACTTTAATGCATACCTTTGCATATGTCGCGAATTCTCCATATGCCACAGAAGCGAGGACTTGGCAACAAAAAAAATGCTTCAGAACTACGTAACATGTTGTATACGACCTCTTGAGTGCGCACACACCAAATGAACAGAATTATTGAAGATAAAACTAGCGTCATCAAGGCGAGAAAAAACGAAGTGAGAGTTGCTGCATGCGTTTCGCGCTCTCCTCCGTGAGCTCCAAAACAATTGGTTCTAGCTTAAAATACCTTGTACGAGACTGGGCTACATTTTTCATGCTGAAAGCTACATCCCCCGTGAGTACTTGGCAGCCGGCAATAAAGGTGGCACGCATTTCGTGGCTTAGTTGCTCCAAGTTCTTTGGTATGTTGTGAATTCGCGACACCCGGCAGTAAAGGGTCAACTTATACACATAAGAGCGAGGTAAAAGGCAGTGAAAAAGGAAACACAAAAGCCGTAAGCAAAAATAAAAGAAAAGTAAATACACATGCCTGCAACGGAATGAAATATAAACGATAACGCACCTATCTCACACAAGGCGAACTGATCTTAGATACCGAGATGGAACGATTATTTTTACTTCATTTCATGCACTGCGCTTGCTCGGCTTTTTATTTTGAAGGCGTCTTTTTTTTTTTTTGTAGTATAAATCATCGTGCCGTCTTGGTATCTTAAGATCAGTTCGCCTTGTGTGAGATAGGTGTGTATTACCTTTGATATTTCGTCCCGCTGTAGGCATAGGTATTTATTATTTTTTTGCTTATGGCTCTTGGGTTCCGTTTTCATTTTATTTTTATTTTGCTCTCCGCGCATTGGTTAATAAGGCAGATTTTTGGTGCATAAAAAGGCTTGTTGAGGTGCTAATGAACTCGGCTAAAAATCGGTGCTTGTCTGTGTGTCTCGTTGTCTTTGTCTAAATTGCGCTAAACCTATACGAGTTTCACTATGTCCATTGGGCCAAAATGATGATGTTCTGAATACTTTCCCCATCGTGCTTCATGATGGATAATATGAACTTTACTACCGAAACTGTCGATCGAAGGCCGAGACAGCGCCTCCGCTCTGAGAGCAGCGTGCTTGAAGCTTTGGAAGGTCGCGCGCGGACAGGATGTTTGGTCAAAACTCTGGTCAGAACTAGTAGTCATAACTGTGGTTATCGTTTGCCATAACCGCGGTTGCTCTCGACAGGATCATGTATGGCGACGACGTAACGGACAGAACTCTGAAAGTTCACGCGCGTCCAACGCTCGACCAGTCAAAGCGATGTTGCTTTCTGCAAACGCTACGGACAAAACCGCGGCAGATGCGATCATAAATAACTACAAAACAATTTGGTTTTGGAGGCACCTGCGCAGCCAACGCACGCAGATTGAAAACGAAACTAGTACTTATTTCCGCTGTAAGGGCAGGGCTGGGGCGAGGATTGATAAACAGTCTTTATTCGCGACTGGACATTAAGGAACTTGTGCGTGAGAGCTCTACATGGGGGCTGGCTTGGCAAGACAGACAGCCTTGAAGAGGCTGTGTGCTCGTATGCTCACACCGCAACCGCCGCGTGCGGAACCGTGGTCGCGGCGTTGCTATCATCGACCATTTCTGCATGCGGCTGACGCAGCGGTAGTTTAGAGGCAATAAAGACGTAATAAAGGCTAGAAGCATTTTGGCGTTCCTGTCCCAAGAGTCCAGTAACGATCCTGTAGGTCTGTGCACATTCTTTTTTTTTTTTTTTTCAGTTGTCCTTAAGCGAAACTTTGACATTCGCTTTCCCGGCAATGGGCTGCACCGTTCTGTCCGTTCACGTTTGTCGCAGAAAGACATACGCAAGTTCTTTTGGCAGAAATAGATTCTTGCTAGTTGTTTTGATGACTCGAAATTACGGGAGATATGAATATTTGCGGGCCCCCTTGGAAAACACTATCTTCATGTGGTCAAGCCATTATAAGACCGCACGGCCAATGTTTACAGAGCCCCCCCCCCCCCCCCCCCCTGTTTTTTCGCGATGTCTTTTTTTTTTTTTGTTGAAAAAGAAAAGGAGGGGGAAATAAATTGGTGCAACCCTCTCCTCACCCCCGTTAGGGATTGAGAATCCTTGAACTTAGCAGTTAGTGTAACCAGCTGTACTTTTGATTAGGATAAAGGGGGTATTGAGTGACATAAGTGGACTTCACTAAAAAAATTTTGGTTAAAAGCGGGACTTTTTTTTTTTCTTGAAAATGATCTTTTTTTTAACTCGTTTCTTTAAATGTTCTCTTCTTTCACGCTGCATTTTTTTCGCACGAACGTTGAAAACACATTGTTCTATATTTGGCACTTGTTTTGAAATTGAGTGAAATAAGGAATGCTCCAAGGCTCATCAATGATGTCAAACTTTTTTTTCTTTTGACCTAGTTAGCCATTTTTCAGAATTTTTTGGTTCTGCTGACAGCTTGAGAAGAATACGGATGTAATTCACTGTGATGCTTATTAAAACAAGCAGAAAAAAATTTCTACACAGCGTTTACAGTGGGCTTTTACTTCGTTTGTGAGATCTGAAGGTGTTGCACTGAGCAATAGCGAGGCGTGCCTGCTGCCACCTTCATTTTTTTTTTTTTGCACACTGGGATCAGTTTTTTTAAATAAAGTTTTCAGCTCCGTGCACTTTGAATATACCCACATAAAATATAAAAAAGTAGACAAACAACAATATCATCCATACATATATATTCTCTTTCTCATGAATTACCCAACTCTATTTGAGTATGACCTTAAGCATTCATGTGTTTAACAATTTGCTTTAAATTCACTAGAGTGGATGTTCTTGTTTCTTCAGCTTTTCCTGATTGACTTTGGGCTGGCCAAGAAGTACCGAGACAACCGGAACAAGCAACACATACCGTATCGGGAGGACAAAAACTTGACGGGCACAGCTCGGTATGCGTCCATAAATGCCCACCTTGGCATTGAGCAGAGTCGCCGGGATGACATGGAGTCTATGGGCTACGTGCTTATGTACTTCAACAGAGGTAGTTTGCCCTGGCAAGGCCTGAAGGCAGCCACAAAGAAGCAGAAGTATGAAAAAATTAGCGAGAAAAAGATGTCCACACCTGTCGAGGTGCTCTGCAAAGGTTTCCCTGCTGAGTTCACCATGTACCTCAACTACTGCCGTGGCCTACGCTTTGAGGAAATGCCAGACTACAAGTACCTGCGCCAGATCTTTCGCATTCTTTTTCGCACGCTGAACCACCAGTACGATTACGTCTTTGACTGGACCATGCTCAAGCAGAAGGCAGCTGCCTCTGCTGCTGCTTCAGGCGCTATGGCCGGACAGCCCAATACTGCTGCAGGTGAGCGCCTTCTTCTCTGGGATTCTTGCCTGAAAGAGTGACCCTTGCTTTCCTTGCGCTGACACTGAAAAAAAAAATGCCCCTCGTATTTCCTTCTCTTTTTTTCAGGCATCAGTGCATGCTCGGCAGCAGGTTAAAAAAAACAAGCGTAAGAAACTCTTTCTTTTGCTTAGATTGGTTTCAAGTGAGTTGGTAAAGCCCCTAAATTTATAGCTTTGTTTTGGGAAAAAATTTTCCAGTTGTAACGAAACTTGCCCTACAAGTAGCTCTGCAAGTAGAGCAATGTGGCCATATACTGATCTCAAATAAAATCAATGTTTATTTTTTGTTCTGTGGTACAGAAAGAAAGCACTGTGAAAAAAGGCTCTGTTTTAAAACTGCTTTACTAGTTTACAGCCCCATACAAAAAATAGTAGGAAAAATAAATAGAAAGTAAAAAAAAAATCTGAGAAAAAAGAACACCTGAACATCCTGCTTTTCGTGCTAATTAGAGGGAAGAAAGCTTTTATATGTACTTGAAGAAAGGCATGTTCAACTTGTTCATTGTCAAGACAGTTTCTTGAGAAGCACCTAATGTGGGTTGATGTTGCGTGTGATATCCATAGTCTGTGCTTTGTTTACCAAGCACACCAAGCAAGAATGTACTGTAAAGGAGTCGGAGATTCTGTACAATTTGAGTTTAGTGTTCTATATATGACAGTATGTGCAACAACCTTTTATGTTCAAATGTATATTTATAGCTGGAGGGGTAACTGTAGAGTGAAACAGCTATTTGATCTCCCATATAAGTTTATGTGTGGAACAGCTGCGGCAGTACGCCAAACTTGTTTACATGCACCACCCCTGCTGTGCCAAACTCGTTTATTAGCGCCGTACTGCGCTGCAGCACCAGAATTTAGCCCCAAGGTACGAAAGCCATCAAGTGCGGTGCCTGGAAACGTGGCTGAAACACAGTCTTTTTTGGTTTCATCAGAACTCTTATAGTTTAAGTTTCGTATTGTGACCGCTCCAGCAGCAGTCGTGAACTTTGATTTCAAAAGGCGCGCCCCGTCACGGTAGTCCAGTGGCTAAGGTACTCGGCTGCTGACCCGCAGGTCGTGGGATCAAATCCCGGCTGTGGCGGCTGCATTTCGAATGGAGGCGGAAATGTTGTTGGCCCGTGTACTCAGATTTGGGTGCACGTTAAAGACACCAGGTGGTCGAAATTTCCGGAGCCCTCCACTACGGCGTCTCTCATAATCATATAGTGGTTTTGGGATGTTAAACCCCACAAATCATACTCAGATTTGGGTGCACCTTAAAGACCCCAGGTGGTCGAAATTTTCATTCATTCATTCATTCATTCATTCATTCATTCATTCATTCATTCATTCATTGAATCAGATTTGGGTGCACGTTAAAGACACCAGGTGGTCGAAATTTCCGGAGCCCTCCACTACGGCGTCTCTCATAATCATATAGTGGTTTTGGGATGTTAAACCCCACAAATCATACTCAGATTTGGGTGCACCTTAAAGACCCCAGGTGGTCGAAATTTTCATTCATTCATTCATTCATTCATTCATTCATTGAATCAGATTTGGGTGCACGTTAAAGACACCAGGTGGTCGAAATTTCCGGAGCCCTCCACTACGGCGTCTCTCATAATCATATAGTGGTTTTGGGACGTTAAACCCCACAAATCATACTCAGATTTGGGTGCACCTTAAAGACCCCAGGTGGTCGAAATTTCCGGAGCCCTCCACTACGGCGTCTCTCATAATCATATAGTGGTTTTGGGACGTTAAACCCCACAAATCAATCAATCAATCAATCAATTCAAAAGGCGCGGTCACAATGTGCATGAGATCACGGCAGGCGCGAATAGCTTGCAAACTCTTCTACGTGCTGCGCTCGCAACGTAAAAAGACCTGCGAGATGAGCATCTCTCTCTGGCGCAACTGTACTCTCTTACACCAGCGCTTTGTAGAGTTACGCCATATTGGATATAAAAGAGTTGGCTGCCAGCCTTCCAATTTGTTTTTATCACATTCATTGATTCGGCCTTCGACAGGTGCAGATGACTGCTCATTGAGCGCATGCACATATTCTCGTTCATTTGACCGCTGTGTTTCGTGCTTATTGACTCCGTGATTGATGCTCATGTCTTCAGGTTAAAGAAATGGATGGCTTTACATAACTAGAAAGGTCACAGTTGCACCGCTGGGGCGAAGCAAAGAATGCGATAGCAGTAATTATACAAGCTGGCAGCGAACTCTTTTGGATCAGATATTGTGTAACTCAACCAAACGATGGTGTATGAAAACACAGCCAGTTAAAGGAGAGCAACATTTTTCACACAATCTCTTCGTGATGAGAATTATGGTGACCCCGCTACTCACCGTAGCGGACGATCACCGCGGGTTCACGCTTAGCGAGCCACAGGGCCGCGACTCCGTTTACTCGCGTGTAGGCACCGCTCTGCGCGCGCTCAACTAATGAGGCAATTAGCGCGGCGTGGCAAACAGACAGTGTTCTAATGCAAAATACACAACATTTTACTGCCTCTGGCGGCACCCCGAACAACAGTACAACGTCCGCTCCCGGGACACGGGTAGCAAAGGCACCCGCACGCGGACGTTCACATTAAGGGGAAAACCGCGAGCACATCGCAGCTGGCAATGGCGAGCTTTGACACGCCGGTCGGGGAAAAGTCCCTCGCGGCTATGCTGCGCACTCTCACGATGGCCACTGGGCCTGGTCGTGAGTGTTGGGGCAAACCTCGTACGCGTAGGCCTACGGCAAGTGCGGCTCATTGTGGTACAACCACTTCAAGCACCAGGCACCGCTGTGGGCTTAGGGTACGCTACCGAAGCTAGCACTCAAGTAAACACGCCTGCCGAGGTGCCCAAGGCCACCCCAGGCAGGGGACGCGGACGAAAGAAAACACATGCTTACCCGGCACCCGGCGCCGACCACGGAGGAGCGACCGTCAGCTGCCTTGCCGCGCACGGAACTCGTGCCGCCCGCACGTGGCGCCATCTATCGCCCCATGCCGTTAGCAGAGCAGAAAAGCAAAAGGGTGTGGCCGTGTGGCGGAATGCCCGCGAAATGGTCGCCGGCGCGCCTCAGATCCTCACAGAGTGCATCATGTAGAAGCATATCCGGGCCACGTGCTGATGGCTGCACTGCTAATGTGCGCGCCAGCGATTGTGCCCATGCCCTTATAAGTAAAGTTCATAGTTGTAGCGCGAGTGACACCTCCCCCTCTTGTTTTTTTTTATACCCTTCGAAGACAGGCAGGGCGCTTTCTCTCTGCATTGACTGCATGCCTCCTGAACGAGGGGGATGTTATTGCACGTGCTCTCCGAGCAATGGAGATAGGCCAGATCGTTTGATTTCTGCTTTAGCCGCGTTCTTCGCCCCCGCTCATGCACTTTTATTCAGGGATAGAACATACCATGTGCAGGAGTATATTATAAATTTTGAAATTAAATGGGACATGACAGCTACAGAAAAACCCATCAAGAATGTCGATATAATTTCTATCGCCATAATAAGGCTATTGCACAACTCAGCTTAGTGCTTGAAAATTGCAGCATTGAACAAATGTTGCTTCACAAGTGCTTTGAACAGGGTTATATCTGCTCTGAATGTTCTTACTGCTCTAAACTTGCTCAAATAGATAATTCTGACTGTTCTAAGCCTGCCACAAAAGGCCATTTTGCCTGCTCCCAGAACTGCTCTCAAACCCATGTACCCTGTTCTGCCTCTGTAAGTTGCACCTGTGTATAAGACACAAATCCTAATTAAAAGAGGAGTTGATCAAAAGCTTGCTTCCTTTGTTAGTCATGGCCTGATGAAACCAACAGACAATGAAGCTGGGGAAAACTTGGGGGACCCTATTTGCTGTAATTATGATCAAAATATAAATTAAGTTGATTCCCTTTATAAGAGGCGTGCTCCAGGCAGCAATTTTTCTATTTCACATGAGATGTCTTTTATGAGCAGGGTACCTCGTATACATTTTCTTATCAACCTGTATTTTACATTAGGTGCACTGGTGTCCTTTATACCCATTTGTCTAATACCAGTGTCTCTTATACAGGGGTTCTGTAAGTTAAAGTGGACGAAAGCAAAGGTTGTCATTGGTAGGAACTGCGTCTACAACCTTTGGATAACACATCTGGTGCTGTACCAATTGATTTACAGTGGTTGTTATGGGTATTTCTGTGCATTTAAACTGGAAGTGCTAGCCAGCATTCATTCCCCTTAGAGGATGCTTTTACTGAAAATTTTATATAGAATTTGCATCTTACTTTGAAGTGCATCCTTTCTAACTCACGATTATGCATGTGTTCTCCAAAAAACGCGATGTGTTTACCCATTCTACAAACGCATGAGCTTAACTCTTTCCATTTGACAAAGAACTTTACTTTTTGGCAGTCGGCTTTTCTTGCCATTAGCAGAACACACATAATACTGATTTCCATGATACGAATTCAGAGAGAAAGAATTTCTTTTTCCATCATTATTAGTATCAATAAACATGCTTATCAAAATGTTTATCAAATACAATATGAGTAAAAACATTATGTAAAAATTTTGTTACAAAACTGTAAGACATAGAAAAAACCTCATAGTTGCTATATAAGAATTCTTTCATGGTATATATTTTATGCAAGTGAGATGTGTACTGTATATCTTGCAAATTTCAAGCTTCTCTGTTCAACAAAAGGGAATCAATGGCTCTTATGAACCACAGTTAAGCACTCGGGAGTACAATTAGTAGTATGATGCACACCTGCCAGCTTTTTCAGTTTTCCCATAAAATGTTTGAATTTTGACCATGCTTAGGATTTTACGAATCCTGACTAAAACTTTTCGAAAAATATTTAATTTCTAATTAAAAAATAAAATTAGTAAAATAGCGTGGCCTCCGCGATCCATACGACGCATTACAGTAGCTAGTTGAGGAGGCCACAAAAACGGGGTTGTGCTATATTCCGCCACCTAAAGAGAACAATATGCATTGGTGTTATAATCATACATATTTGCCAAATGTCTCGCATTGTCCGGGACACTCCCGGATTTCGACTGTTTCTTCGTTTGCATGGTTACCATGAAAATCTCCCAGAATTCGAAAATAGTGTGCCAGATCTGGCTGCATTGACAAAAATGCAGGTCAGTCCGTTCCAGGCTTTTTGCGCTCACCGCATTTTATTATAAACGAGTTTGAGAGGCATTTACGTAAACGTACAATAGAGTCTCAGTGATGCGAAACCGCGACAGATACGAGTTTGTGAAATTCCCTAGCCAAGTTCATGTGTCCATTGGGCCAAAATTCGAATGTTCTGAACACTTTTCTTAATCGTGGCATGTGATAAACTTTAGTACCGAAACCGTCAAACGAAGGCCGATCGAAAGCAGCGTGCTTAGTTTTCCATTATAAAGTATACTTGTAATGCAACCCTAAAATGTACCCTCAACAATTGGGATGTTTCTCAGATTCACAATTTTTGTGTATGTAATTTTCTAGATGCATTAACGATGCGAGCGACCAAAACCGAAATTTGCCGCATAGAGCAACGTGAATGTGCGCCATCCCCGCCTCGCTCCAACGCCAAGATGAGTTGTTGCCGAGTGCAGACTATAGTGCTGAGTGCAAGACACATAGGCACTGCAATCTTGGGCTGTCAAGTCAATGTTTTCTCCATTTTGTCTCTTGCAATGTGAATTAATAAAATGACAAAACATTGTATGTACCAACCCAGCCGTTTGATGCACATGAGACTACTATAACACTGTTAGTTTAGTTGTTAAAGGTGCAAAATACAAAGGTAAAGAAACAGCTCAACATTCGGCACTGAAACACCTTGGTAAAATAGCTAAAATGGTTGCTTGGGCCGTAAAATAGTCTATAACACCTCAACTTTTATTGGAAAATATGTATATGCGCTGCAGAACATAGTTAACCATGAACAGAACCAGAAACATCTAGATGCACGCATGCAAATACCATATCATGTTATCATAAGAGATCATGTTAACGCTCTAGTTATTTCTTTATCTATGGAGTAAGTGATACCTAATGAATATTGCTTCTGCATGTGCAGAGTGATATGCCACGATGCTTTCAAGGTTTATTTTTGCAGAGCTGCCTTGACGATGTCAAAAGAGGGCTTTACAAGTGACCAATGTACACGGCCAACACTATCGTTTTGGAATTCACTCGCACAGATCATGGGTTGGAATTCACTCGCACGGATCACGGGTAGAGTGGTGTGGGGCAGCTGCGATAAAGTGTCAGTTGTGAAAATCATTAGAGCTCCAGCCATTGATATTTCACAGTTAGGACTAAATAGGTACTGCCTCTCGTAACTGCTAGGGAACTTGCCTGGCTTATGCACTGCAGAGATTTATGTTGTGAAGGCTGAAAGAATATGGACTAGCGCTGTTGCACCCTTTACACCAGCACATTTGTGTGCTTCTCTTTTTGATTGAAACTGTAAGCAAACACTGATGAAAAAAAAGAGTGGATTATGTTTGGCTGGCAGTTGACGACCTGATGTGGACACTTTACAGAAAACAAGTATGAGGAAACTTCATTAACTTAACTCAGTTATATTAAAATCTTGTATAATTAGGATTTCTGTAGTCCCGTACTTTGCAATGCAAGTATGAGTGAATAAATTCCAGCCCGGCTAATTCGGAAATTTTGAGTGCTATGTGGCATTCCCGATTTTGCCGCTAACCTGCGAAAACTATGGCACTGTAAAGAGAGAAAGAGAGAAATGGAAAGGCAGGGAGGTTAACGAAGCTTTGGTCCGGTTGCCTACCCTACACTTCGGGTGGGAGAAAGGGGAATAAATGGGATTCAAATGATAGAGAAGAAAAAAAAAGTAAGAAAAAGATGGCTAAACAGTCGGCTTGAGACTACACAGCACGGTCTCGCGATATTCGTTCACATCACAAGTGATGTGAACGGAATGGTGATTCTCAAAAATTTCGACCACCTGGGGGTGCACCCAAATCCGAGCACACGGGCCTACAACATTTCTGCCTCCACTGGAACTGCAGCCGCCGCAGCCGGGATTCGATGCCGCGACCTGCGGGCAACAGCTGAGTACCTTAGCCACTAGACTACCGCGGCGGGGCGTGCATGAATGCAAGGCATCTTATTGGTGCAACCACAATAAATATGTTGTCCACATACCGGACACTTGGTACTTTTGAAAAACAAATTTCGATACAATAGAGTGTATCGCATTTCATGTGTAATAAGACACCAGAGAGGCGCTTGGCCTTCCACTTATGGAGTGAACACAGCTCAGCGTGGCTGCACTCTGTGGAAAGTGCCAGCGCACTTGGTGAGGCCATGCCTAATTGCGAAGCACCGCAGGCACCGAAAATTCATGGGGGTTGTGCTTCTAGTCATCTGCTACAGTACTCGAGTGTGCTGCCATTTCTTCTGCACAGCAAAGAGCGGCGTGCATTGATAGCGATACCTGTATCGCTTTGCGCTAATGTGCACTGTCACCAAATGCAGTGGCACTCTGTGGGGTGTGACCATAGTGATTTGTGTTAACCCTCAGAGTGGACACTGTGAAAAGGAAAATATATAAAGGCCAAAGCAGACTAGGGAACTTCTCAGTTTGACACATTTCAATTTGGAGCTGAACAGAAAGGGGAAATATGTTGACATGCAGCAATTATTTTTGTAGGGGTTTAAGCTAAATAAAACTTCCTATGGGTTTGTCATAGTGACCACTGTGGATCACCTCCTGTAGTGCTGCATCCCAAGCCTCATTCTACCTCAATCTGAATGTTCCTGCTGTATTTGGTATTTAGAATTGTGTTGCAATGCCATAGCCTTCCAGCAACCGAGTTACACTTGCTAAAAAAAAGAAAAACAAAGCTTCATAGCAGCTAAAATTTTTTTTGCATGCATGTATTGATTTACAACTTAATAATTCTCCATTCACTTTGGGCAGTAATAAAAAGCTTGAAATTTATTTAATGCCAAAGGAGGGTGTTTTATGAAAAGCTTTAATGAGAAACTCGTAGTTGTCTAGTTTTCTCCTTTCTCTTTCCAGTTGTGAATACCAACTAGATGCACCTGGAAAGAAAGTGGCAGGACTAAGGACATGTTGTTCGGATAGTTGGCATTTATAAATTTAGACATTTTGTTGTACAAGGGCAGGCAGCACCATGCTGAAGACACACTGACATAGCACCTGTTTTGTGTGTGCCTTTGCACAATTTCTCTAAGGTTAGCAACTTCTGCAAGCTGGGCAGTGTGTCTTGCTTGCTGTAGTGTTTATGGATAGCTTGTTAAAGCTTTAGAAAAAGTTACTGCCATTGCATACTGTTTGTGTGTTATTGCCATTGTGTACTGTTGTAAGCAGTGTGTACTTAATTTTTCTCTTTGTTGTGCAGGAGGCCGCTAGGCCACGAATGGAGTTTGCAGAGTTTCACATCTGGCTTGATAGATCCTGAGCTAGGCGTGCCTGCTCTAGCCTTTGCTGTTATTGGTGTCTTGTCTTTGGGTGGGCCTCCAGAAACTTGCTCCATGTGTGTATGTTTGTACAGAATAAAGCTTGCTACAGTGGACTTAAAACTGCTACTAGGGCTGCCATGTTTGGACGTACCCCACCTTTTTTTTTTCATTTAAACAGGCACACTGTCATGAATTTTTTGGGTAATATGTGCACACTTTGCCACCTTAAAAGACGTGGCTTGCCTCCACTGTTATGCGGAATTGTTAGGCACATCACTCAGTGGTGCTCTTAAAAAGCTCTAGTTTTCCATTTTACAGCTCTGTTTGGCATTCTGCTGTAAGCAGCCCTTGTAAATGGTTCAGTGTACGGAGACTAGAAGCTTCCGCGTAGTGTTTGTGATGCTCGGATACATGTGGAAGTGCTTTCAGTTGGCTGAAGTGCCTGCCTGGAATGTGTCCATTTTGAAGTTGCTTGTGGCCCATGTATATTCTTTTGTTTTGCCTCCTCAACTTTATTTAGGACTGCTACTGAATCTGTACAGTGGATGTCTTGCATCATGCAACTTTTTCACTCTTGCCAGCATAGGCTGGTTGGTACACTATCACATGTCTTGCATAATGCAACTTTTTCACTCTTGCCAGCATAGGCTGGTTGGTACACTGTCACATGTCTTGCATAATGCAACTTTTTCACTCTTGCCAGCATAGGCTGGTTGGTACACTGTCTGTTATCGCTTCATGAAACAAGGATTTAGTAACATGTTTGGAGAACATCGCATGGGGCTCTGTTGAAGGTGGTGATGCAGAGTACTTGAACATTGAGAAACAAATCTTAAGCACATCAGCATACTGTCCACTGACAGATACGATAGGCAGCCCGGTGTTTAGCTTTAGGGGTGAAACAAGTTCTACATTAAGAGCGTCTTTGCCCATTTCCATGCTCCCCCGTTTTAGGGGAAATATTGCAGGTTTAATTTAGTTCTCAAGCACTTATCCATTCTCCGTTGAACTAAGGCCTTTTCTTCTGTATGACTACTGTGACCCCTGCTTGCTCTCATGTTTAAGAGCTAATGGAACAATGTACAAGGATTTGTTGCATTTTGTAGGAGCCTGTCCATTTACTCTGAAAATGTTTGTCGTATCTGGTTGTGCAACATAATTTGACTGCGTTTGGAATAAATTCATCAGTAAAATGCACTCGTTTTGTTTTTGAGTGTGAAGGGCTGCTTGCCATCCAGCTTGTTTACAGGACACATCAAGAACTCACACAGGCCACATGATTTTATTTAGAGGCTGAACCAATCGGTAGCACATGGTGCTAATATGTTGCTTTAGCTATAAGCAGTTGGCCTATTCAAAAAAATTGTGCTAGCGTTAGTCTTACAAACAGTACATGCTTAGGAGCACACAATAACAAAAATTGCTTTGGCTGTACAGTTTTAAGGTATATGTAAAAACTAGGTGCTTAACAATTTGCACAAGCTTTGCAAGTGCAGAAGAGTTTCAATCGACTAATAACTATCGTCTCCCAGTATTGGATCAGTACCAAAACTGAGAATTCGATTCCAATACATGTGAATGACACACTTGTGCACATCAATCATTGCGCTTGGATCTGACCTGTGGTGAATGAAGCCTCACCCTCTTTTTTTTTTTTCACGAAATGTCTGCTAAAGTACACATTTCTGAACATGTGACACTGTACACACGTGGAGCAACTTCTCTGCTACATAACTGGTTTAACTATAACAAGATACTTTTCTTTGTCGGTGTTTTCCTAGACATTGTACAGTACATCAATACACTGTTTGGTTAGGAGAGGTACTTAGTCTGTGGTAAAATGACATTCATCTTTTGCAGCAATTGCCACAATCATGCTAGCTGTGTAAAAATGTTGTGGACAATTAAAAGCTCAAATGTGCTTTATCACATGAGTTCCCATTTTAATTAAAATGAAATTGACACAAACACGTGTGAAATTTTAACAATGTTCCTCCCATATATTTTCCTATGAATGCACTAGAGGGAACTCTGACGCTAATGTCTATGGGAGTTGTATGTAACGCATGGCGCTTCAGTCATGGGCATGATGGGCAGTACACTGATTGGTCTAAACATCATTTTTTCGGCTCCATTTGGATCCGTGTGGGCTGCATTCGCTTTGTTGCAAAACTACGTTCAACAAATGTTTACCACTGCCACACCTTGACTTTTTATTTAGGCTCATTAATACAATTTCGCTTACTAAGTTTAGAACGATACATTCTGTTACCCGGGGAAGAAAAAAAAAGTGCTAACACAAAACAACAAAGCTTCAACAAATGTTTAGCAGTTTCAGTTTACCACCTTGACCTTTTAAGACTCATTAATTTGAATTGGCTTACTAAGTTCCCAACAACTCATCCGGAGTAAAGAACTAAAAAAAGCCACCAAAGCACAACAATAAAGAAAATCACAAATGCACCGATGCCTCAAGCATGAAGATAAGGAAAATCTGTGTACTAACCATCGTTCTCATGCTGGCTGAACGCTTGCAGCGCCAGAGTTCCCTTTAGTTAACACTAGAAAACTATGCCTACTGCAACAGTCTGTCTGTCTGTAGATTCAGATCTTCATGATCCTGGTTAAGAACCAGAAAACATGCATCCATGACTACCACTTATAAGGGTACTTGCTTAGGTCAGTTGGTACCTACTCATTGCTACAATAGTGTGCACCGCTTAAAAGATGAATATTTATACATAAGACGAAGAACTGCATGAAAACAAGCGCATCTAGCTTAGTCAATTCGCTCGTGTTTGTGTGGTTCTTCATCTTCTAAGTGGTGTGCAATAACGCAATAATAAATACCACTTAACATTTGAAAACAGTCGTGCTGCTTGAAATTGCAAGAAAAGCCTACACCAAGCTGGATAAGAACATGATTATTATGTGACAGAGGTGATGCCTATGCGGCCGAGTATTCATTTTTGCCAGCAGTCCCAACTGCTGTCGCTTGCTTGGTCCAAAATTACTGTAGCTTAAGACGGGAATGACTTGGAATGTGTTCAGTGATAAATGCACCCGTAAATGCCTCTCAATAAAAGCTAGCAACTAAATAAATTTCTACATTAACAGATGGGAAAGGGCACTACAGACAGAGAGCACACCAACTGTACGGTACATTCTCATACGAGGAAAACATGCATGGTACAAATTTTAGTACATGATTATACAAACTTTCTGCAACAAATTATGTACACAACTGCGGCAAGTACCTCATGAAAGCTGTCAGGATTCATTTTATTCTTTACGCAACAAGCCAAGCCTAGGGGGCTGGCCGGAGCAGCTGATGCCCAGGCTGTGGAATGGTTTGTAAGTAGGAATATGCAGGTTGGTGACAGACTAGGCTGGACACTGATTTGAGCTTTAGATAGAGTGAAAAAAAAAAGTGCTCAGTATAGCCACTACTGCATATTTCGTTACTGACATTAAAAAAAAAAAAAAAAGACATGTTCTTACAAACAAGTCCCATCCCTACAGCTCAGCCTGCAAGTGCAAGAAGAGGCATTGCTTGCAAAGGTGCGTAATGGGTGCTAGCTGTGTTTTTTAGCCACGACAGTTGCTAGAAGATCATCAGGCTGCCGCATGACCAGAAATAGAATTTTCGTCTGTGCGAGCTTCAAAATAGTACTTGCACACTGGTGCACACTGCACGTGGAGAGTAATAGCTGGCCTAATGCATAGCATCAGAGCTCTATGATTTGGGAGCGGCAGGCTCGCTTGCGCTGCTGCAGAGCTTCGCTCTCCACGGGCAGTTGTGCACGACGTCCCACAATAGCTGTTGGCCTCAGGTTTAAGCCCAAGGTCTGCACACCCTTGGCAATGCGTGACAAAGGCGACAGCACCAGATCTTTTTTGATGACGATAGGCGAGGACACTGGACTCGGACCAGGAAGCGAAAAATCTTGAATGGCACTCTCACTATGCGACATTTTCATTTTTGCTGGCTCACGAGGACCCTCCTCAAGCACAAATAGTCTTGACAGATTTCCAGGTGACGTGCTGGCAGGTCGACTTTCCAGCTCCTCTGAGGATTTGGACAACTGGCGTAAGCGACCTCCGGTGGGTGCCTCTACAGGACTCTCTCCGCTCACCTGAAAGACCCCAAGTGTAGCATTAACAGTTGGCTAAAGCTATTCTGCATGAGTGGCAGTTTTTTCTGCTTATCTTTGCCATACCACTGAATTAAGTTTCAAAAAAGGTGAGGAGAAGTGTATGCCCAAAAAGCGCATGTCCTCGAAGCAATTTTTTGTAACTTTGTTCCGTAATACGGCGCTGACAGACAAAAAAGTGGTCGCTGTGCGAATGGCTAAAGTTTTGGCCGCCTGAATTTCTACTAGCAAAATATCATGATGAAACCTCAATATACTCAAAGTATTCATGCTAATGAAGCAACCTCTGTATAACTGCAGGGGTGCCAACTGCCGTCGCTCTTTCGACAGTCTAACAGCACATTTGTACAACATTGATGCTTCCTAGAGCAATAAAAAATGTTTGCAACAAAGGACGTGCAAGCCACAAGTTTTATCGCACCAATCCATTAAAGTGTCATACCATACTGATTGCTTACTTTAAGATTGTCTGTCGTAAGTATGTTTTCAAATTTTAAAGGATATAATTGTACACTTTATTGCTTGGCAAAGGTGCTATAACATAAAATTTTAAGGTCGAAATGAGGCCTCACTGAATAGCTTGGTATGCAAAAGCCTATGAGCAAAGTATAAATTCTGTCCATTACACAAAAGTTATTTGGGGGGTATACAGCTTATGAAAGCTCAAAAAGGCACTCAACACCCTGTGACATCCACAGTATTGTACTGCCTCAAGGCCACGCCCCAGGTGCCGCGTAATGATGCGCTAGTACTACCAACAACGATCTCGGTATTGTCATCGTAGTGCCGAATAGCAGCAGCTTCACCTCAGTAGTCTGCATCTTCGCTGCATCACTCGAGTGAGACTAGTGAAAGGTGGGGTGGAGTGAAGAATGGAAGTACCAGCAAACGCGAACATATTTCATCATTAATGACTGTTGAATAAATCATTTGCTGTGGGCCACGGCCTGCATAATTTGTGAACAAGATAGGAGCGTCTGTCCTGTCCACAATTTTTCCTGTTCTGTGCTCTTGCCAACCAGCATGGCTCAAATGTGAGTATCCATGTGCCTCGTTGCGCTATAAGGACCGGAATTGCTTCGTTGCAGAGGATCAAAGAAAAAAATCATTCGCAATGTAGAGACTTGCTACGATTCGCAATTACTCAGTGTTTTCTTCATGACTTGTAAAGACTCGACATGTGCGCACTTAGTGGGCGAAACGTCAGCTAAATCTCATATCTCTGTTCTGCGTTGCTGCGTGATCAAATGAGGCCCTATTGGGACGTTCCGCGGGCGTCGACTGCGCAGCAGTGCTGCCAGCACTGCCAATAGGTGGGCTTGGCAACAGTTTTGATTTGGACTCAAATCTGACCCTACTAATCAATATTACAATATTCATTTCTCCTTCACATTACCAGTAGCGAATTGTCACAAAGACATTGCTAACTACACTCGATACTGGTCCTACTAATCAATATTGCAATATTTATTCACCCCTCCTTTGCATTATCAATAGCAAGTTGTCTCTTGGGGGTTGCCAACTACATGTGGACGCAAGAAATTAGAAAGTATCACTACTCTTTTCAGAAATATGTAGGAAGAATTTCGTACAAATCCAGCTATTGGAAGTACTAGTAACACGATGTACAAATTCGAGAAGTAGCTGGAAATTGCATCTGTACAAATTCGAGAAGTAGCTGGAAATTGCATCTTGAGAAAATGAGAAAGGATACTTCTGGGGCCAGTTTTTCTCTGCTGGACACAACCTGAATGAAAAATGTGTGGCAGCTCCACTACTGTGAATTCTGAGGATATACGCAGCACGAGTGCTCAGTGGTTCCCCCAGCACTAGTAGAATCATGTTAGGGAGATCTCGGGGTGTGACAAGCGCGCTACTTTTTGCTATGTTTTGTCAACTTCCAGCTTGTTATGGCAGTTTAGATGTGTGACAAGCGCGCTACTTTTTGCTATGCTTTGTCAACTTCCAGCTTGTTATGGCAGTTTAGATACATGTCATCTGCAGCGCATGTTCTCGGGTTGTTTTCCCATCAGATGGAGCAAGGCAACATAAGGAGACGGGCATTCACTTGCTCGACATCAGTTACATTGAGGGCCTTAACGCTCGACTAAAGGTGCTGTATATGCTACCTTTAGAGAGCATACTAGTATATAGTACAAAGTGGTAGTGTCCTCTCTAGCGTGGCCATGGAGTCAGCTGCACGTTTTCAAAACGCTTTTATGAAAAATCTTTAGTTAATTATTGTGTTTTGTTAACTATATTATTTTCAACCTCATTCGTTTATTTTAACCCGGTTTGGAGCATTTATTTATTTATTTATTTATTGGTAGCCTTGTTATGGCCAGTATTGAGTGTGTTGCTGTGAGCATGATCAGGTTACACGAGATGCATGCATTGATTGATTGATTGATTGATATGTGGGGTTTAACGTCCCAAAACCACTCTATGATTATGAGAGACGCCGTAGTGGAGGGCTCCAGAAATTTAGACCACCTGGGGTTCTTTAACGTGCACCCAAATCTGAGCACACGGGCCTACAACATTTCCGCCTCCATCGGAAATGCAGCCGCCGCAGCCGGGATTCGAACCCGCACCCTGCGGGTCAGCAGCCGAGTGCCTTAGCCACTAGACCACCGCGGCAGGGCCGAGATGCATGCATGGATGGACACAAGCCGGGTCCCTAAAGCACCCTGCACTTAAAACCCACAGACACCCAAGAAAGGTATGGGGAACATTATTTTTAGTTCTATAACTGAATCGTAGCTTTTGCAATACATAAAATTACAGTAAATGAACGCGCCACCAGCAGAGACACAACCAGGATAACATGGCCGGTGCTCTACTAATTGAGCTATAGTGACAGTTGTCCTCTTATGCACTTCATAGGTTATTTATTTGCATGCAAACTTGAGAGAGTCAGTCAGTGCCTCATGTAAGCACAGCAGAAGGGATAGGTCCTTGCTTTTCATCTGAAGGTGTTATTCCTTGTCAGTTCTCGAATGTATTCAATGTGTTGAGCCAAACTAGAGCCAAAAGTCTGCAGAGGTAGTTATAAAAATGTTCTCACATTAAACTAAGTAAAATAACATGAATTTAGGTCCGCAAAGTAAGGATGCTATTGGCGAAGCTAGAGAGTGATACATTGACATTTCGCAATGCAATTTTGAACAGTGCCTTTAAATTTGTGAGTTAACCGCTGCATCACTTAAGGTTGCTTGATGCGAGCAAATGTACCATGTGCCAAACCTGAGCTTTTTAATGTGGAAACCTACATGTCTAAGTAAAAAATACAGTGTTCCGCCGCAATGAAACAGTGGCTACATTGCGTGGCTGCTGAAACGATATCAGGTGGCGTATCACTACATCCTTTGTATGTGGGACTCCACGTGCGACAGCAGCGAGGTTAATCTTCAGCATTTTTTTGTACAGCAGGTTTTTCATCCCATTCGGCCATTCCGCTAACACCACTTTCACCTAAACAAATACAGTCATCGACAAACGTTCGGCGCTTGAAACAATTCATGTTCTGTCGGCCTCCATGTCCTTCATGTCGACCTTCATGTCCTCTCCTAGGACAGTCCTTCGTGTAGATGCGCATGCTTAAATATCCGCGTCCCCAACAAATCCTGGTTTTGCCTGTCATCTGAATGCACCATTACAATAATGAAAGCATATTCTGTGTAGCATTCTATGCATTCTTTTTGCTATTTAAACTAGCTATTATGATGACATCTGTGTTTTCAGTACAACCTAGGTGTTTTAAGTTGTGCGGTAAAGTTCCTGCTAATGTGCTTTATGGACAGAATTGTTAGGCTTTTGGTTTGTGGGTGGTAAATAATATTCGGGGTTCAATAATTATTTGGTCTTTTGTGTCAAAAACCTACTCCGTGCTTTATGAAACTTGCATTCAATTTTGACACGTTCTTTAACATGTATTTTCGTCACAGTCGAAAATCCCAACCAAGATAACTGGGGTAATGTGAAACTGCTTTCTCAGCAAAATGTCACAGGTCACTGCAGAGAGTTGATTTCTTGATAAATTTGAACCACACTGCTATACATCCTCCTTTTGCTATTTTTTAATGTAAATGACATATAAACACTGCCTTGCGCACACCACGTCCAAATGTCTGGGAACCTTCCAAATCTTTTCAGAATCTTCCCATAAGCTTCAGCATGCAAACGCAAAGAGTGGAGCTCATTCTGGAACTCTTAACTTGAATGTTCGATGCCACATGTATAAATGTTGATGCATTTTACCGCAGATCAGATTGCCAATAGTTGACAACAGTGTTTCTGCGATCGGCATACAGGCTGCATTGCATGTACTTCAACTTTTCATTTCCTAGTCACGTTTGCCCAAATAGTTTCGTCTTGGAACACGCCAACTGCCACCTTCTTCAACATCACGATCTTGAAACAATATGTTGCTAGTAATAAAGGAGCACTGACACGAAAATTTTGCAACTTGTTTTTTTTTTTTTTTGTTGCAATAGGTAGATTATGACTAGAGACTAGATTTTAGGCAAATGCCTATTTCATTCCTTGCGTCACTATTGTGCCGTTGATATATATGAGCATGAATTAGAGTTTTATAGTTTTGCAACTTGTTTTTTTTTTTTGTTGCAATAGGTAGATTATGACTAGAGACTAGATTTTAGGCAAATGCCTATTTCATTGCTTGCGTCACTATTGTGCCGTTGATATATATGAGCATGAATTAGAGTTTTATAGTGCCTATGAATGCCTATCTTTGATATCTGTGCCTAAATTCCTGTAGGTGCCTATAAATGTCTATTTTCATAATTGATAACTTTGAACTTAAATTTTGCTTTCAAGTACAGTTTGAGAACGTTATTCATCTTATCAGGCAAAATTGACCTTTTGAAACTTTACGAGGTGTAGCCTAGTTATCTAGTTGAACAAACTTTCGCAAGCAGCCACGTGATATGCGTTCATGTCGGTGTCGCGAGGGGCTCCAC